GCCCCGGGGGGAAATGGAGCGAGGGGGTAAAACACACGAAACCTTCTCCGTACGGCAGGTTTTAAGCAGGGGGGCTGACTGTAAGCAGGTACGACGACGGGATTCCCTTTCATGAACACATGTGTGTACACGTTTCCTATTCTATACCGGTGAGTAATTCTTTGGTTGGTTGTTTCCGCAAATAAATTCAACGACACAATACTCCCATGAAAGACAATGGTTAGCTCGGGCGGAAGAGGAAAGAAAAACAAGACTTGAACTAGACTGTTGACAAAGGTTGTATTATTATTATTATTATTATTATTATTATTATTATTATTATTATTATTATCTTAATATACCTCACCAAACAGCAGCAGCAGCAGCGGCAAGTCCCCACCACCACCACCACCACCACCACCACCAACAACAACAACAACAACAACAACACACCCGAGGTCAGGAAAGCTTCCTCCACACCGTCGCCGTGGTGCACGTCAATATCCACGTACAAAACTCGAGTATGCACCTGCCGTACAGTCGTACATTAAGCCGTACCGGAGGGTGTGTGGCAAAAGGAGGAAAGCGGTTAGGCGGCTATGAAGACGTACTGCAATATGTACTACAGCTTAAGACGCGTACAGGTCCTAAACCCGCGTACGGGACCGCCGACAGCAAGGCCCCCTAATCGTACATACACACACACACGTGAACACATTACCCCACCCAGCCTTGGACACCAGCACCACCTTGAGCAGCTCCAGTACGGCAAGTACGATATCATTGATATAACAGAAACCCGATGCCTGTCAAGGCATGTGGGAAGGGGGGTGGGTGGGGCCCCAATACACAATCAGAAATTCGTCGCCAGGTGTGAGTTTGTTGGGGTGGGGGTTCTGGCCGGAGGGTTGGCTGCACGGCGGAGGGAGAAAGGACGGGGAGAAGACGGGAAACTAGTATATGTATATATACCAGGGTTCGACACTGACCTTCCTGAAACTTGCGGGCTCCCCCGTACCCCCAAATTTTCCTTACGGAGGGGCCCCCGTACCAGGCTCCTGTACCGGCCGAAAACCTTACGGGGGCCCCCGTAACCCCCGCAAAACCTTTACGGGGGCACTGTCCTTGGCTGAAACGCTGTGGAAAGTGACGTTTTGCTTTTTTTTGCCCTGTAAGTCGTTATTTTCGTTATTTTCTCCTGAACCATTACACTCGGGGACACGGCAGACTCAGCGAAAGCCTTTATATGGTCCGTCCTCTCCCCTACAGGGCCCCGTACGGCCTCTTATAAATCCTTAAAATCCTTACGGGAGCCACCGTAACCGGCCTTCGGCCGGTCCGGGGGCGGCCCCGTACGGGGCGCTTCGCGCCCCAAAATCCTTACGGGAGCCACCGAAAAGTCCTACGGGCCCTGACGGGGATACCGAAAAAAGGCCAAAAACTTACGGGCCCCGTACGGGGTGTCGAACCCTGATATATACACACACATACATATACATATACATATATATACACATACATATATGTATATATGCAATGCATACATACATATATATACACACACATATATATACATACATACATATATGTATGCAATGCATGTATATATGTATGTATGTATGTATGTATGTATGTATGTATGTATGTATGTATGTTTTGCTCCCTACCTCGGCCTTCTTGGCGTGGTGCATTCCCCCCGACCAGTTAATGGCAATATCCGCCCGCCCGTAGTTGAGCTGCATGGCGGCGCCGATGGAGGCGCCCGCGTAGATCTGTACAGCAACAGGTACGGCAAGTACGACATCGACACTCCTGTCGTATGAGACAAAATACCCAGATGGTGTGCAAGTGCAAGTTCTAGAGAGAAGACGGGGCCCCTCCCGCTTCACCCCTCTTTCGACTCCCCCTCCAATACCCCACGCGTGTTTCCCCTTCCCGCCTTTTCCCCTCTCCCCCCTTTTCCCCTTCCCCCCTTTTCCCCTTCCCCCCTTTTCCCCTTTCCCGCCTTTTCCCCTCTCCCCCCTTTTCCCCTTCCCCCCTTTTCCCCTTCCCCCCTTTTCCCCTTTCCCGCCTTTTCCCCTCTCCCCCCCACCCAAAATCCAACCTGGCAGTACTGATACATCCGGTCGAATATGGGGCAGTCCCCCGCCACACTGAACTGCTTCAGAGCCGCGGACAACTCCTCCTGTGCGCGCGTGTGCGTGGAGTGGTGGGGAGAGAAACATGTGTGTGTATGTGTGTGTGTGTGTGTGTGTGTGTGTGCAGGGGACCCGTGTATGTACGCAAACACACACACATTTTTAAATGTATGCCAACTTCCCAGATCCAAATATACAAACATACAAAAAAACACAGACACACATACATATACACAGACGTCCGTGCAGCTCCGTCTCCCCCCCTCGGGCCCCCCCCACTGGTTCTACCTGGTTCCCTGGGCTGACTGCTCGGAGGAAGTCCACGTAGTCGGGGGAGTGAAACGCCACCAAGTCACATTTCCGTGCTGGACGAGGCCGTACAATCTAATGACAGGACGAGCATGGAGAAACGGAGGGAAGGGTGAGGAGCGCGGATTAATACATACACATACACATATACAACCCCACAACACCCCACACACGACCCTTGCGCATATACCCATCTCCCCCACCGTCCGGCCTCTTCCCCCACACACACATACACAATTTCCCCCCTCCCCCCCCCCCGCTCACGTCCAGATGCCGCCATAGGTCGTACCGCGTGACGAGACAGTGCGCCAGTCGTACTCTGTGGGGCTTCATGGGGTGCCCCTGACCGTAGTAGAAGTCGCCGATGTCGGGGTCATAGTAGTACGTCACCTTGGAGGGTTTCGGGGCGTGCGGAGCGCGTGTGTTTTGTGTGTTTTGTGTAGGGAGGGACCGTGAAAAGGGGCCGGGGAGAGTAGCATGACGTGCAACCCCCTCTCCGACAGACATACGGGCGGCCGGGGCAGTGTGCGTATGTATGTATGTATGTATGTATGTATGTATGTATGTATGTATGTATGTATGTATGTATGTATGTATGTATGTATGTGTGTATGTGTACAAAATTGCGCAGAGGGGGGTCGGGTGCTCTCTCCGGACCGCGTGCGGTTGGGGAACGGAACCAAGAGCTAATTCAGAAAAGATCATTCACTAAACACAAAATGTACACATACATACATACATTCACATTTACAACCCCTGCCGACCCGCCATGGTTGCAACAAATGAGCCGATCAGGTCGGAAAGACTAAAGCTGAAGAATTTCCTTAGACCGCCCCTTTGGAATCCATAGATCTGCTCGCTACGTAGCTAGGTAGCCTAGGCGCTAAGGGCAGCAGAAAGAGCGGAGTGAAGGAGGGCGGAGCGATTGAAGTGTTGCGGTGGGGGGAAGGAAGGTGTGTGTGTTTTGGGGATGTCGCGTTCGGGGCCTGGTATCATATGTCTGACTTAAGAAGGAAACAAGATGATGTGATCGGGGCACAGCTGTCGGGGCCTTTGGGCCGGGGCGAAGAAAGGTTTCCCCCGACTAGGCAAATCAGAGGGGGGAGCGAGACGAGGGCCTACTAGTGTCGGTGGCGGGGGAATTTCGGGCCTTACGAGCTGCCTTACGAGCTCTTGCAACATAAACGACAACAAGCCTGTGCGCTGCTTCTTCGTGTGTTCGTAACGTCGTACGTGTAATTGTTCATATGTGGGAGGATAGGTGGGTGCCCTCCATATGTTGGGCTTACAGACGTCATCCTGGGGACCTGAGGACTGAGCTTCAGGTGTGAAGGCTGCCAGCTTTGGGCAGTTGGTTGGCTGTTCGAGATTGGGAAGATTGTGCAAGTTGAAAGACGACATAAGCCAGAGCTACGGACCAAGTGATGTTGGGGACGGGGGGTGGGCATGGTGTGTTCAAAATCCTTTCTGCCATGCTCCACATGCGTGGAAAGCAGATGTGACGTGAAAGGATTGATGATGGGGAAAAGTCCATAATCTTATATTTAGAAGAGCGGGCCTCCGCCTTGCCTTGCTTGTGTGCAAAGACATCCTCTCACCTTGCGCTCCCGCATTCCTCCTGAAATTACTTTTAGGAAACAGTTCTAGAGACCTCCAGCCATTATAACAATTTAAGGCGCCGTAACACAGCAGTTGGGATACACAAGTGCGATTGAACGCAGCATCTCACAACTCGTACATAACTACACAAGTGGCATTCAAACGCTTGGGCATCGTGCTATCCAAACGATTACTTCCGTTATGGTTTCTCCCGTTCCCCTTTCTGCCGTATTCGTACAACTTTACTGTTTCGTCAGCGAATCTTCCACATCGTAAAGCCGCATTTTGTGCAGCTACAATGCAGCGGGGGTCGATGCCGATACTCGAGTACTGTCACAAAGCTCAAGCCGAGCGGCTTCCGGTTCTCATTCTTTCCAATTCACCTGCACCACTTTGGACGAGACAAACGAACAGAAGCTTGACATAAACTGGATCACGCCGGCAACCAGAGACGCCTTGAAAGTGTCCGTCTTCTTCATCTGGCTTGGGTCTCAGAGGAGGGATAGTTTGAGGCGACCTGTGAAACTACGGAGTTATCATAAGCATCCGGCCTTCGGGCGACACCCTCCAAGAGGCCCAGAGGCCAACACCCCTGGAGGCCATGTTAGCTGCTTGCAAAGCAGCCCTTAGCGGGTAAGGCCATCCGCCTGCGGAAATGGATGTGAAAAAACGAATTGGTGGTTGTTGCGTTGCATGCCCGTCGACACCGCTTAAACGCCGGTGCGTTGCGCTTGCCTCCGACCAATGCATATTTCTCTTGTGTTTACCTTACGTTATCTGTTTAAAAAGTAAGCGATGCTGTATTGGCACGATTTGGCCCAGCGAAAGACGAAACGGACAGACGCAAGCCGCACCAAACATAGTCATTCCGTATTTATTCCTTGGGGCTGCAGAACTGCGAAACTTTGATCACCTTACCCTACAGCTAGAACTAACTCAGTAGCCGTTTCCAGCCCACATCACTTTTCGCGAAGCCTTACCTGACCATCGTCTCCCCAACCAACCTCAAGATACATAGCGGCCGCCAAAGGTCACCCAGCTTGCAACTTCCCCACTTCGCCCTTGCCGCCGATATCTTCTCCACATCCCTCTTTTATGATCATCATTCGCGGGAACCCCGCGCCCGCCCACGCACCTAACCGCCTCCCCTCCTCACCTCCGCTGCCACTCCCCGCCCGGCCCCCCACACGCTCCGACAACCCCCCTCATTATTCCTCAACTCCCCCTGTCCCCATTGCCGGCAGTTCATTCCTTGTTTCCTCGCATATAATTCCCCACCTCCCAAATTCCCCACCTTCCCTCGCACAGCCTTGGCCAAGCTACTGGGGGGGGCAGTGGAGGCAGCGGGGGCGGAGGCCGCTGCAGCCCCCCCAGTGAGAAGCTGGTGGAATCTTTCATTCGCGCGCTTTCGGGACGACAGTTAGAGACGGTTGCGGCCCACGTGGCGGAAAACAAGTCACTGCTGGTGTCAGTCTTCAAGTGTCATCCCGCCAGATGTACGGCATGGCACCTCGCGGTCGCGGAAAAGGAGGCGGGGCCGGCGGCAGTCGCGGCGCTGCGGGGTGGCGGCGGCGGCGGCGGTGGCGGCGGCGGCGGTGGCTGCTTTGACGACGATGGCGCCGGGCTGCTACGGCTACTGCTACGGCTGTACGGCGAGCAGGAGCTGCCTGTAGGGACACTACCAGAGCTGCTGAACATGCCCAATAAACGGTGCGAATAAATAAATAAATAAATATGTAAATCTATTAATTAATAAAAATGAAGTAAATAAATAAATATGTATTCAACTAATATTGATTAAAATTAATTAATAGATAACAATTAAATAGATGGTCGTCAATGCCCTCTCACCCCAGCCTAACTCCCATGCTCCCCCCCTTGTGAACCCGGCACCCGCACGCCTCAGAGGCCAGACGTGCACCCACTGCGCGGCCGCACACGGCAATGCCGCCGCACTTCGCCTTCTCCTCGACACGGGGTGCTTGGGGGGGGAGTTGCTCAAGACGGACAAGAACGGGCGAACTGCCCTGCACCATGCAGCCGCAGCCGGAAGTGAGGACTGTGTACGGCTGCTGCTGACGAAGGCGGAGGCGCAAGAAGACGCAGCGCGGGCAGAGGCGGCGGCGTCCCCGTCGCCTCCGTCATCACCACATGCGGCGGCGGCGGCGGCGGCGGCGGAGGTGCCGGCAGTGCAGGAGGGCGGTTGCGGCGATCGTGCCGGGCCGGCGGTGATGCTGTCGTTGCCGCCGCTATCGCCATCTCCGCCGTCGCCCCGGGTGCGTGTGCCTCCCCCCTCCTCGTCATCGTCTTTGCCGATTCCCGTGTCTACGTGGGCATGCGGAAGCCAACAACAACAGCAACAACAGCAACAACAGCAACAACAGCAACAACAGCAACAACAGCAACAACAGCAACAACCTCCTGCCTTTGTCGGGGCGATGGTCTCCAGGTAACGGGGAAAGAGCTGACACACATACATACATACATACACACATACATACATACATACATACATACATACATACATACATACATACATACATACATACATACATACATACATACATACATACATACATACATACATACATACATACATACACGAGTTCCCCCACAAGTCTTGCCAGCCCCGGTGCTGGCGACTCTCCTTGCCGTCGCTTTAGTCGCAGCTATTCCCACTCCCACTACCCGCGCGCCGTCATGGCTGCCACCACCATAACATCACCCTCAGCTCCCCTCCGCTAAGCTTCCCCCCCACGCCCGCCCTCCGCAACTTACAGATTGCACCACAAAACACAAATACACACACGCACGCACACACGTATCTGGCACAAAAATCGGCACACCAATATTATATATATATATACTTGCTCATTCATGAGAGAGAGAAGTGTCCTCCACAAGCCCTTTAACGACGGTTACCCTTCAAATATTCAACCCCTTCCGAAGCCAAAGCCAAACCCGGTCCAATCCCACAAATACCCAACCTCACCCCCCCCACACATACACAAACATGCCTGCTCAGGATCGTAAGCGCCGTCGACGCAGCGGGCCTAACGCCCCTTCACTTCGCCGCAGCGGCCAACTCGTTACCCGTCGTACGACTGTTACTGGCGGCTGGTGCGCCGTACGCTGCCCAGGCCACGGCTGACAATTTGGAGGCCTTCATGCCAGCGAACGCGGGATGGACTTGCCTCCATGTCGCCGCGATGAGGGGACATTACGAGGTGGCGGCGGCGGTGCTACGATTTCACGTAAGTCGTCCGTGTACGACAGTCAGATGCATGTGCAAACTACCGAGGGTGATGTACACGGGAGGCGCCAGGCGGCCACAGTGGGGTGGCGGAGGCGATAATGATGATGATTTTCGAGAAAGATTAACAGTTACAAGTTACAAGATTAAAGATAAAAGATTAAACAGATTAACAGTTACAAGTTAAAAGATTAACAGTTACAAGTTACAAGTTACAAGTACACCCGCACACACACACACACACACACACAAGTGAGGGTGTGTGTCCGTAAAAGCGGGGGGCGAGGGGCCCATGGACGTTGTATTAGTACTGATGCGGGTATTGACGAGGGAGGCCATCACCATCATCATCACCATCATCACCATCATCATCACCATCATCATCATCATCACCATCACCATCACCATCATCATCACCATCATCATCATCATCATCATCATCATCATCACCATCATCATCATCATCATCATCATCATCACCATCATCATCATCACCATCATCATCATCACCATCATCATCATCATCATCATCATCATCATCATCATCATCATCATCATCATCATCATCATCATCACCATCATCATCATCATCATCATCATCCCTCGTTCGCTTCAGGGCGAAGCGCCTCAGCGCAGCGACGTGCCTGGCCTCCCAGGGATGAAACGGGTTACGAAATGAGCCCCTCCTCTCCGCTGTGTTGTTGAGGACTGAAGACAAAAGGCAAATAAATCATTAAAGAGGAATCTGAAGGGCCGCTGCTTCCACTGCTTTGCTTTAAATCTACTACTACCACTACTGCTACTACCCCTCCCTCCACTCCGACCATCCACGCTCCCCCTTTCCGTCACATTTTAATCCCCCCCCACATAAGGCCTCTCTAAGTACGGAAGAGCAAGTGGCGTCCTGGACTCCAGGGAAGTACCGCCGGAGCAGCGACCCGCGAACTCTACTGGACCGTCGCGGCACGTCCCCACACGCACTCGCGGCGTCCCGCGGTTTTGGCGACCTGGCGGCGCTGCTGCACCCGGGCACCCCGCTTTCTCACGGGGTGCTGTACGGCGTGTTGGTCGGACCTGACGGACACGAGCTGCGACCGCCCCCCATGTTTGTTTGCCCCATCACCCAGGTAGGTGTGTGTGTATGTGTATATGTGGGGGGGAAGTATGTATGTATGTATGTGTGCGTGTAAGAGTGTGAGAGGGAGTGTGTGTGTGTGTGTGTGAGAGAGAGAGAGAGAGACGGTAGGGGGGAAGTGGGAGTGACAAGCTAGGGGGGAGACATCCCCCCCGAAAAACAAAAAAAACCTCCAAATGGCGAAAACCCAGATCAAAACAACATGAATAATGTCCCCCCCCAAACACCTGCTTAAAAACACACACGACGCGTGTCTGACACGTCACGCACATGCTGCTGCTGCTGCTGCTGCTGCTGCTGCTGATGATGATGATGATGATGATGATGCGCCTCAGGAGGTCATGGTGGAGCCCGTTGTGGCGTCTGACGGCTTCACGTACGAGCGAGCTGCCATCTGCAAGTGGCTGACTGCGGGGAAACGCACCTCACCGATGACCAACCAACAGTTCACCTCCCGGTTGCTGTTTCCAAACAACGTACTTAGGTCGGCTATCAAGGCGAGTGGAGGTTTGGGGAGGTTTGGGGAGGATGGTGGTGGGGGGAAGGATGGTGGTGGGGGGGGAGGATGGTGGGGGGGGGAGGATGGTGGTGGGGGGAAGGATGGTGGTGGGGGGGGAGGATGGTGGGAGGGTTTTCATCTGGTGTGTTTGTGTTGGTGTTTGCGGGCACGGTCCGCTCTTCAGTCATACACGTGATTTCCTTTGGAACCCCAAACCCCTTCTAAACTCACTTGCGTTACCCCTCCCCAAGCACATACATACATGCATACACTAAGACTGCCTCAAATTCACCTTCTCTCCAGGAATGGCGTCAAGAGCATAAGTTGCCTGATTTGGATACCCAGATGCGGAGGGCCAGGGGGGGGAAGGACCGTCCGTACGACGCCAGGATGATGTACGGCAAAACCGGAGGTCGGGACCCCTTCCTGTCGCACCTCCGCGCACACGGGCTTTGATGGAGCAGGGGAAGTCGGGCGGATGCAGCTGGTTCTTCCTGCTTGCTTTCGCTCTGGATTTTTTTTATTTTTTACATCATTTGCATGTCCGCTTTACGATTCACTTTCTTCTTTTCTCTTTTTTCTTTTTTCACTTTCTGTTCTGACCATTTCTTGCCAATCCAGCCGAAAGTTGGATTTTCGGATTTGGGTTTTTTGGAATTTCCTTCATGAGAAATTTAAAACTGGTTTGCGTGTTTGGGTTTCAAAACACGAACGAAAAATTCAAACGCCACGAAAGGGGGAAGAAGAGACAGAGAAGGACTGGTTCCCAGGCGCAAGAGAGGAGATAGTTGAGCCTGTAGGGGATTCCCAAGGGGTGAAGAGAGAGGGAGATAGAGGAAGAGAGAGGGGGATAGAGAAATGCAAGGGGAGGGAGCGAGGGAGGGAGCGAGGGAGGGAGGGAGAGGGAGAGGGCTTCGCAGGAAAAGCTTTTTTTCGCTTTTGCGAAAGCTCTTTCTTTTCCCGGGTCCGAGCCCAGGGCGACACCGCTGAGGCGACATCATCGTCCTCCCGTACGACAAGGTGGCTAGGCTGTAGCGCGCTCACACACTTTCATATGGCTGCTGCTGCTGCTACTGCGGCTGCTGTGACAACCTGACAGGGCTGTACGACAATCTGACACCGGAAAAAAAGGGGTGAAGAAAGCAGCTGCTACACACAGCAGCCAGAAAATGATGAAGGGAGAATGGGAGGCGCTTGCTTTTCCGAATGCCGAAAGGCGGTTGATTCTGTTGTAAATCGGTTGTTCGTTTGGGGGTATCATGTCGACAGGCACTTACTTATTGATATACAGTTACTGTAGAAGTGCTGCGGCAGGTATACGGTTGATAGTCAAGGGGTCTGTCTATGATCTACATAGTGTTGGGGCTCGTTGGCGTCTTAGTCGATGGGTCCAGGGCGTCTCCCCTTCGATCCGTACGCGGTCCTGCGTTATCTGCAGTATCAAAGGAGACCAACTTTTAACATCGAACAACTTTTAACAACAATACATTGAACAGCTTTTAATATTGGTATATGCTCGCTTTTGTGGTCGGCGATTTCGGCACATAGATGTAAATGTATGTATGTAATAATATTGTTCAGGAAGACGGTGTAGGTGTTGCTGCTGATGTTGTTCCTGATGCTGCTGTGGCGGCGGAGGCGGCGCAGCAGCAGCAGCAGCTATACCGCGGCAGCGCTACGACTGCGCTACGGCTGCCAGCGACACATCCCTCCTACAGCGGGCGCCTGGACGCAGAGGTCGCAACAGAGACATATGGGGACGGCGGGTACCATGAGGTATTTGGTGTACGGCATAGTGAGTTGCCGTACCACCGCATGACAAACAGCTACTGCAGTAGCAGCAGCAGCACGTACTCACGCACGTGTGGCGCTGCAGCTGCAACATCATTACAGGCCGCCATTGGCAGCAGCAGGAAACCGATAGCGGTGCGAAAAAACATTAGGTAAGGATCTCTGTGTTTACATTCCCACAAGTACTTGCATATTTTATATCTGTCAGGCTGTACGTGTGTAACAGTCAATGTAGCGCACGGACGGCGACGAAAGAACATTTAGGATAGGGGAGGGGGGCAAATGGAGGACGACGAGGAGGAGGAGCAGGAGGACAGATCTAGTTTCTTAAATTAGCGAGTGGATAGATCTTCGGAGGGTTCAAGTCACCAAGGGTCTGCCTCCCCCACCCCACACCCACTTACAGGCCGAACGAACACTAGGAAGGACCTGGCCAACATGTCGATGGGAAAAAACACGGCCAAGAACCCTCTGGACCTGGAGTACGACATTGTACAGCCTTCAACTTGAGGCTGTACAATACACAAAACAGGGAGACCCATTCCACCAAAAAATACAACAGCGGTAAAACGCTGCGAGCATCACGCATACTACTAATTTCGCAAGGACGGATTTCCGTAATGTATCTCTGTACGGCAATCCATTAAGTATAATTGAGATTACTGTCCATTGCATTTATGCCGCCAACCAAGCCATGCATTCCTCATTCGAGAGCAGACGCAGCGCAGCAATCCTATGCCATCTCCAGCTGATATACAATACACACACATACATACACACATGCATACACACATATATACACACATGCATACACACATACATACACACACGCATACACACATGCATACATGATCAGTATGATGTCCCTTCAAGGGAAGGCAAGCTTGGAAGGCGAGGAGGTTGGTCACCGAGGATCCAGTTTCCCCTTCCCATCCATTCCCCCCGTTTCTCACAATCATGCAGCCGGTTAATCACCGGGCTTCTTTATCGCCCTATCCCGGAATCCATAACATGCACCATGGCAAGGAACAGCCTTGGCGTTGCTCAGGTTGCTGGATCGCTGGATGGGAGAAGAGCGGCGTTCCACCTTCCCTAGCACTGCCCTAATCTGCCGTACACGTCGTTGTCGCACACGCGTCGACGCACGACACACGCAAGATTTGAAAACAATAGCGACGGTTTGTCGCTATTGTTTCAATTTAGTAGCTTTGCTGCTAAGTTCCAATTTAGTAGCTGCTGCTGTATCGTACCTGTGTACCATCACTGCCACCACTACCATATCATCATGACCATTATCATCATCATCATCATAAAATTGAAGAGTTCTTAAAATTGTTCCTAACGCAGCACGACCCCGAAAGGAATCGCAGAAACGTCGTCGTGGCGCAGCAGCGTGTAGCGCCGCTCTGTGCCCCCTGCCACATACGGTGGTGCCTCTTAGCCACGGCCACCAAGCCACGCCTGCGAGACCCCTCTCCCGGGCAGAAACACACGAGTAGAAACACACAGCAGGCCGCTATCTATATACATAAGACGCATCATACATGGCGCTAGATAGAACACGCGCGCGCAATCACCGTCATATATATTAGATATACGCAGACAGACTGTCCAAAATGTTGGATGTACATCATGCTGGTGATGGTTAACCGATGTACGACAAGGATGTACGACACGAACCATCATTAAATGTTTCGATAATGCCAGGACCGGGTTAATTATCTATCAACGACACCTTAGACGGATATATTTTATTAACCAGAAGCAGCTGCAGCCATGCAGCTCTAAGGATGAGACACTATGACGCGTCATCAAAATATACTTAGGGTTTGTTTCCCTGCAGCAAAGAAGATGCAAGAGGTGCAACACGCAGCCGCGGGTGTAGGCTTCATAAATTGATGTATGAAGCCTAGGCCCCCTAGGCGCCCCTACTAGACGCCCCTGCTCCGATGCTCCGAACATCCAACAGGAACATCTACAGCGTACGGCACCTACAGCTTCAGCATGCAGTTCCCCAGCAAGCTGATGTCAAGTCGCAAGCATGCAAGACAAGACGAGCGCATGCACGAGCGCATGCACACACACACACACGCGCGCGCGTTCCAATCCTAAGAAATCTACCCGATGTTGGAGGCGGCGGAGAGGACGGGGAAAAAGGTTTTTTGCCCGGCCGAACTTACAACGAACGATTTAGCCGGTGACGGCCAGTGCTGCTGCATGTATAGAATGCAAACGCTCTTTGCGTGCGGACCAACGAAGCTATGCTCGGCTGCGTTATATAACTTTTTTTATGTTATGTTATGTCGAGCTATGGGGCCATATTCGTATTTCCAAACAAGTGCAAGGTGCGATAGAAAATGATAAGTTTCGTTTCCACAGGCGGATGGACAGACAGACAGACAGACAGACAGACAGGCAAGCAGACAGATCGATGGATTGATCTGAATGTGTCCTAAGGTTGCGCTGACCTGTACGAGGCATGTGGAGAAGTGCTACTAGCAGCGTGGTGGTGGTGTCGGTGGTGTCGGTGGTGGGGTTGGTGGTGGTGATGGTGGTGGTGGTGGTGTTGCGCGGGCTCGGGGGCGTGAGGACGGGGCCCCCTCAAATAACGGGGGCTCATGGCCCCGTCTGCCACGGTGTCGCACAAAATCAATGCAGCCTCTCGGTGCTCTCAAGCATTTGATAGCGTAAATTTCCATCCACTTATCCATCTGGCTCATTCGTGTATCCGTAATCACCAAACCATTCGCCCGAAGAATGATCACCTTCTTTTTCAGATATTGAACATATTGAACATATTCCTGTAACCGGTCTCAAATTCCCTATTTTGTAGATCTTATCTTGTGATATAAGTCTCACATCCCGCGCTTATCCACAGTCCAATACGTAGATGACCTCCTTATCAACATGTGGCCGTTGGAAGATCCGATGCCACTCCGAACCGAACTGTAAACAAATTGCACGGATCGTATTTGCTCTTGACGCCCACTAGACGGTTGTAGTCGTTGAAGAAACGAGACTTCCAGTCATTCAGGGTGTTGAATCTGTTGCCCCAGGTCGTATACTCGTTATTGTAAGAAGAGCTACCGAAGGCATACAACGTCGGTAGGTAGGCCGAATTGATGTAGTCCATTCGCGGCTCGTCCTCGGCAGGGTCAAACCATTTGTCAGCAAACAGAACTTCGTACATCGCGCCTCGCATTCCCGCAGGCACTGACCCAGTACTGCTGGCTTGAACTGCGCCGCCAAACATAAACCAAAGCCACATGGATGGCTGAGACTCGCCGATAATACGGGAAGCATTATTCAGGATGTCCTGTCTAGGCGCTACGAATGTGTTCGCGATGAATGTACGTGACCAGATCTCCGCGCTGGCTGGCTGCGTCTCGCGCACCATCTCCAGAATGCTTGAGTAATTGGTAATCGGCGTAACACTGGTACGGTATGGCGAGTTGAGCATGGGTTGCAGCGAATTGAAGGCGCCAACATAATCCTCCCCGGCATAGAAGAACCGGATGTGGACAGAATTGCCGCTGACGAGGATAGTTCCGGAGAGCTCGTTGGGCAGGCTGTTGAACCAACGCACGTTGAATATGTAATCCGAGAACAAATTGGGATACGTCGCGCCACCCAGCGCGGGGTTGATTAGGTCCAATTGGACTTCGAGCTGCAGGATTTGACGAGGAGCCGGGAAGGTTCGAGCTGTGAAGGAGATGGCGACGCCGAAGCTGTTCTGGCCGGCGCCGAGGTACGCATGGAAGAGGTCGGCGTAGCGGGTGCGACTGAGCGTGAGGATGGTGCCGTTGTAGAGCATGAATCTAATTTGAAGAATGTTGTCGATACCGAGGCCGCGCAGACGGCTCAGCGGGCCATAGCAGCCTCCTGCAAGGCAACCTGCTGGGCAAATGGATGTCGACAGACCGCCGACAAAGACGCGGTTCACGTCAGCCACAACGGCATAAACCATTTCCTGTGTGGCACCTGCACCAAAGGTGACGGTCTCGTCGTCCGGGTTGTATTCCACATAGTTAAATTTTTCCATCCTAATCATCATCACTCCGCGGCCGTTGCTCCGGCCATTGTAGTCCTGTCCAGAGCACCTGGTAACCACACGAATTTTGTAGTTGTATGCGAACTGCAAAGAAGAGCTCAGGTCGTTTTCCGACACCGGCGCAACGATGATGCCGGGGAAGTTGGTTTTCAAGGCATTCGCCGTTGCGGCAGCACTGAGAAACTTGTCAGGAGTCCTGTCCCATTGGTAAACATTTGTGGCGCCGGACAGCCTGGAAATCCATGTGCTGAGTGCCGCCCTGTCTGGCCAGCAAGTGCCGCTGTTTGGTTGGCAGAAAGCTCCATGCCCTGTGCCCGCTAGCATTGTTATACTGGCTGCAATTACGAGAATGGCCAGAGGGCCATGCTGGGGCGAGACCTGCGGCGCCACCATTTTCCGTCACGCTTGTTGTGGCCAACGGATGGCGAAATCGAAAGCCTCAGTCTCTGGTTTCGTATACAGGCGTAGCCGTTTAAAAGTATGTGGTCGGATAATTCCTTAAAGAGGTTCAATGAAGGCTCTGCTGAAACGACAGAGGTTTCGAGCATCGTACAGTTACACTTCGCACGGTATGCCACAAAATTTTCTATTTTACTTTTCTTGCCATTTCGTTATAGATTATTATGGACACTTGCATTATATGGCACAGAATATCGAAGACGAATCGACTCCACCAAATTGACAAGCGTTTGCCATGCATTCGCAGTCCAGATCTAATGCCCTACCTCCTACCAGCTTGGCGAGTGGAATTTGTAAGAAGGAACCCAACCGAAGTTGCCATTTGAGATGCTCGTCTGCCGCCCGCCAACAGCATTACAAAGGCTCCTAGCTTAAATATACACAAGCTAAACAATTATTTAGGCTCTATTTCGTTATTTAGGATTAATCATGAAAGGTTTGCCGCGAGCGGAACGCTTGCGAGTACCGTGGTGTTGAAGCATCCGCAACCAGAGGGTAACGTTACAAACAACAAATTGATATGCAAAATCCATTAAAGTTTGTGAATGAGTTTGTATGTGGATAGCTATTGGGGACGAATGGAGACTAACATCAGGATATTGCGACACCAACGGTCCACTCGAAATGACCGGCTAGCCACGGGAGAGAGTTGCATCTGGCTGTAGAGAGACCAATACAGGTTATAGGAATACCAGGACCAGTACATAATATATTCAGGATTAGGAATCTCGCGCGCATGGAATAGATTCGTCCAACGGCTCCCGCTGGATAAGACGACGAAAATTGGGGAGGCAGGAAGGCAATGGCCGTCAAGGGATACGCATTTGGAAGTAGAAAGCTAGGTATTAGTGGCCGTTTGGTCTGATTTTGAAGATGTGGAAAGGGTGAGGGGGTTGAGGCGAAGCCCTAGCTACAATGCTGTCTTGCACACCACGGAGGATCCCGTCTTGAACACCACGGAGGCCACCGGAATCCTAGGATCCCGGGGGGTTCACCACACAGAGGGGTGTGACTGCGCCAAGTATAATCAATGTAGAATATTCACAATTATAATGTAGAAATGGGTATGCTGGCATATGTGTGCATGGGATGTTGACAACACAAAAGCGACGTTCCATCCGTTGGCAAATGCCGTACCGCTGACCTACAACCGCGGAACCTCGAATACATAACGAAGGTTGTTGGCATCGGTATATGCATTATCAGGCTGGCTTCGATCTGCAGATTGGCATCTAATTTGAAAATATCTGTGCCCAAGCTTCTACCAGTCTTCAACGTAGCTTCGGGTAGAGGTTTATGCAGAAGTTACTAGTCACTTTGTTTGTCGCAAAGATCAAGCTTGTTGCGTTGGCTTTTTTGAACCATGGATAGCTCTCGTGGACGTTATTTTAAACCCACTCGACAGTGCCGGCTTTGTCGCTTTGCGCTGATCTTTTGCATTGCTGGAGCTCTGCGATCAGCGGATGCAGCCACAGGCTTCTGCATTTCGGCTCCAGGCTCCTGCTGGCCGTCGGCCGCACGTATTCGCGCTTGGATTTCGACGCTAAGCAATAGCACAACGGTTTACACGCCTGACGCAGAACCGAACATTTTCCTTAGCGAAGCAACAGCGATGAACTTCCTGAAAAGCGACTTCCCCGGGCTCATCGTGGTTCCGGGGTCGGAGGCGGACTTGCGTTCCGCCTTGTACTTTGCGTCCAAGACCCGCATTCGCGTTGTTGTGCGGTGCTCTGGCCATGACTTTAACGGCAGGAGCTCCGGTCGCGGCGTGATGCTCATTAAGACAGAACGCCTCAATTGGACGTCCTACGATGCCTCATCACAGACGATTTCCTTTGGCGCCGGTGCCAACCATGAAATCGTTTACACGGCCTTGGTACCGCACAACCGCATGTACGTTGGCGGCCAGTCGAAAACGGTCTGCCCGGCCGGCTGCCTCGCCGGCGGATGCCATGGCCTGCTCTCCCGACAGTACGGTCTTGGCATCGACAGCATTTTGGAAATTCGCTTCGCCCTCTTCAACGGCACCATCATCACGCTCAACCGCACCCGTTATGCCGACCTCTTTAACGCTTATCTCGGCGCCGGCCAGAACAGCTTTGGCATTGCCGTTTCCTTCAAGGCCCAGACCTACCCCGCGCCCCCAGTAATTATCATGCTTGATGCGGAGTTTGTCATAAACAGCCCTTTCGTCACCTCTGGCAATTTGCTGACCAACTTCTTCCTCAATACTACATGGTTTAACGAGATGCCGCGCCAACTCTCTGGTACTATCAACCTGGACTCTGGACGCGCCCGCGTCAAGTTCGTTTATACTGGTACTGACTATGACGACCTGAGCGCGAAGCTGGCGCCGCTGCTGGCCTCACCATTCCGAAGTGCCGTGGCGGAGCCTCAGTTCTTCAGCAATCTTGCTGAGATGGCTTTGAATATGTACCCAGCAGAGACTGAAATTTGGGGTCGCAAGTACATCACCAGTGGCTTCCTTCCGCCTGATCAGGACACTCTAGATAGCGTCGCGTCGGTTATTGCAACGACCAATCCGTACATGTGGCTGTGGTTCGTGTTTGGAGGGGCTGTCCCAGAAAAGGCGGGAATTGGCTCGGTGCCGGACGGCATGCGGTACGCGATGTACGAGGTACGGCATGAGGAGGAGGGGATGGCTGAGGTTTCGGAAGCGCAGGTAGTGCTGGACACACAGCCCCATTGCATCTTTTTCGTTTTATAAAGGGGACCCATGCAGCAGCTGGGTGGGCGTTTTTCCTTACGTTCCTTTTCATCTTGATGCCAATTTCCTTATCCCGTCCTCATTTTTTCCTTCTTCATTCCGAAAAACGCACGTGTTGGCCGTAAACCAAGTAGTATGCATGTCGTACACCCCACACCCATTTACTAAAAGAAACTTCCACGCAGATACGCACCAGACATGCATTTCAGGAACAATGTATGTATGTATGTATTTCTGTATGTATGTGTGTGTACGTACATATATCTGCTATCGGCATCGGCCTGTTTCCGCGTCCCTAAGATGGGCCCCCTCGCCGCTGTTGCCGCGCCGCTCCTACAACTCGAAATATTTCTTTAGAGCAAAATCGAGGCATGGTGCTTTCAATTATCCCCCTTGTGTATGTACCTAAACTCACATATACATACATACATACACACACGTACACATAGTTGTCTATCTGTTCATCGCAGGTTTTGTTTGGCACACATTGGTTCAATCCAAATGACGATCGGTTACGAGTGGAGAGCTTGGAGCCGTATTTGCCCTTGCTGTACGGCATCTCTCCGACGTCGTACAGCAACGAGTTTACGTCATGGGGTTCGTACAATGACATTCAGGACTGGAAGACCCGGTTCTTCTCGAATTACAGCAATTTATTGGCAGTGAAGAAGAAGTACGACCCGTGCAATCTGATTACGGCCACTTATGCGGTTGGATCGGACGAGCCTGTCGCGATCTGCTCGTGCGCACCCAAGTCCGCTTGAGGCTAGGAGGTTATTGTATTGATCAGCATTTTCATCAGAACAAGCTGGAGCTTGGTCATATCTCCTTAATTTCATTTCTCTTTATTGCGAAGCTAAAATTGGGAGTTTGTCAACCTATTATGTTTAGTTCACATTTCCTGTGCAGTTTACATGAATTCACACCGTGTGGTGTGTTGTGATGTGCATATTGGGGGTTTCACCCCTGGCGGATTGGCACACATCACTAATAGCGATAAGGATGTTGGGGGGGAGGTAGATGGCGGGCGGGTGTGTGTGGGGGAAGAGAACGATATCGACGCGCGTGCACTGAACCATCACCGGGAAAGCTAGGCACGGCCAGGCTATAGAGGTGCGGCACACACACATACATACACGCGGGTGAAGCTCTTCACCCCCTTCTACTTCACACAATCATATATACCTGTGGGTTGTGGTCCTGCATGCCGATGGGGGCTGTTGAGGGTGTGCACAGCCCTTAGGTTATCAGCGTGTTTCAAGTGGGCCCTGTGTGTATTGGTGCCGTCATAATCTGAGACGATGTGCCTGGCTTGGGCTTTCGGCGCCACATCCAAAAGCCAGAACATTAGAACATCAGAGGCCCGACGGCTCTGAGTCGCTCTGCTGCCTCGATGATGATGATGATGGCCATCGCGCATCTGTCCCCGTTGCGTTTAGCACTCAATCATGTGAAAATTCTCCGTGCACTCCAATCGTAATTTAATGATATAGGTTTGCTGCTGAGAACTTCCAAGCAGCTTTAGAAGGACTGATGGATTGTTGGATCTACTATGGAGTGCGACGCTTCTGCGTACGACACGCACTTAATACATACCTAGCCTGACGACTTGAATGGGGATGTCGGTTGGTCGGTTGGTTGTGATCCGCTGAACTCCGCAGCCGAAGAGCGAACAAGTAACGCGGCCTCGAGAAATATGTGTTGGAAGCGAAACTACGATGTTCGGGGAGAGCTGTTTTTTGATGTGCTGGAGATTCGACCGACCTGTCTAACGTTTGGTACTTATGCCCGCATTCATGTACTCAGGAAAGGTGAGCCCCGTACTATGGCTTGGTCTGGTTGTATCTTTTTTATGAATTGAGCGTTTGCAGTCGCGCGCACTTTGCTTGCGTGCAACCGTGCGTGCCTTCTTCGAGATGAAAGGACCTGAGTCGTGCAGAGAGCTTAGCTAAAGCGCACAGCGCGTACCTGCAGGCTTTGTGTGACTGTGGAGCGGTTGTAGATGAACTGCATGTTTTTAATGAATGGCCAGCTTACAAAAGCATACTGGCTAAGTACGATGGTGACCTAGTCTTTGAGGGGCGCACCATTATGACTGAGGCGTCACCCCTGGCATGGGCCAGGTACCTCTCGGAAATCTGTGAGGCCAGGCTCGTTGCGCTGAGGCGCTTCGCCCTGAAGCGAACGAGGGATGATGATGATAGTGCGCCTCCCTGGTCAATACCCGCATCATTACCAATACAACGTCCATGACCCCCCCCCGCGTTTACGGACACACCCGCACTTGCGTGCGGAACTTGTAACTTGCTAAAGCTCTCGCCACACCACGATCACAGCTACTTAGGGTTTATTTAGAATAGTTAATGTCGTGAGATCCAACATAACATGGACAATCACAAATATGCTCTTTTGCCGGTTCGTTGTTTGGTTGGTTGGCTGCATGTATGCGACGTTTAGTTTACGTCAGCCGAGCGCTGTCGGACCACGCAGTCGTCATCATAGCCAAGTGTGCGAAAAGCGGTGTACACTCCCCATCCCTCGGTTTTAACTGTAACTGGTGATGTGATAACCTTGCATCAAGTCATGTGAGCTGAAATCCTTCACACCTCTCAAACCTAAGCCATGGAATGCGGTTTTTACCTAAACTTGGACAGCGCTCCACAAACACGACGGATGGCACCCAATGCGTTTGCCTATCGGTTTTGGAGACCTTGGCCCTAGCCTTCCTTCGCTAGCCCCTGCCAGTGGTCAAGGGACGACGAGCCCCGCCAATCCAGGGAGCGTCAACCTGTCACCGCCTCTCCGCCACAAGCCGTCACTGGCGGTCCATACTGTTATGATTACAATTCCCGCTGCTTTGGCTGAGGCTTCCTGCTGCTGTGTATGTGTCACTGGTGCTACAGCCCTGCCAATCTCGGCAAAACCAGTTTCAACAGTCCGTCGGGGTTATCCACATGGAGCCAGTGACCCGCACGGTCTAGCACGTGGTGCTGGAAACTGCCACGAAGGCATGAAGCCGCGGCCGCAGTAGCAGTAGCAGCCGGGGCTGCAGCGGCTGCAGCGGCTGCCACTGCAGATACTCCCGCCACCTGGGAATGGGCAGTAGTGGCAGTAGTGGCAGCGGCTGCTACTGCCTGGCTCAATCGCCGCTGCATCGCTTCGGGCCAACGGTCGGAGCGTGCGCCTTGAACGAGGTGTACGGCCGTGCCATGCGGTGGATTCTCCAGCACCTGCCAAAACTCCGTGGTCCTGAAGGCATGCTCACGCACACACGCACGCACGCACGCACACGTATAGCACATGTTTATCCGTCTGTTTGTATTGTTAAACGACGTGTCTGCGTGCTTTAAGTTAAGAAATTTAAGCAATTTAAGCAAAGAAGAAGGAGAAGATCATCTAACGATAAAAGGCTCAATGACCAGACCGTGCTGTGCCTGGATCTGCAAGGTTTTGTGGGCGCGCTGCTACTAACACTACTAATACTACTAATACCTCTTATACCTCCGCTCCTGAAAACAGCTCCCCTTCCTTCAGCACCCTCACTTTAGGTCCCCTCACGTCTCCCGCGACCTCCCGCCAATCTTAAATCACCCTTAAGACTTAAATTATGCGCGCAACAACTTCCTGGTTGAGAAGACGGCGCGTGAACGATATCCGCAAGTAAGAAAGAAAACAAAAGGAAGCGGCTCGCGCAATTATGCGTAATGTGAGAGACGAAGATGCAAACATGCATACATACACACACATACATACATACATACGAGCAATTATCCAGAGTTATACCTGTATGACATGTACATTGCGCCGGCGCACTGGATATCGAATGACCAAGTGAAAGGCCCGTCCCTGCTGCTGCTGCTGCTACTGCTACTGCTACTGCTGCTGCTCTCTCCGTGTGGGGCTACTGCTACTGCTGCTGCTGCTGCTGGCGACCCCCTGTCGTGATGCTGTTGTTGTTGTTGTTGTTGTTGTTGCCGGTCTCTTGCTCCATGATGATGTTTGTCATGTTGGTTGGTTGTCCCCACCGTCGTATGCCAAGGTGCAGCAGCAGCAGCTGCAGCCGCCGCCCCCCGCAGCGGCACCAGGTTGCTCGCCAGCCATTGTGACAGCGCGTCGCTGAGGCCTCGCTCCCGCAGGTAGCGAAGCAGCCAGGTCCTGGCAGGTATGGGCAACGGTACAGACTGGGAGCGGAGTGCAGCAGCAGCAGCAGCAGCAGCAGCAGCAGCAGCAGCAGCATCACGTCGTGAGGTAAAGGGCGGGACAGAAAGAGGGAGGGAGCGCGGGAAGTGCGTGTGAGCTGGAAATTGGCAATCAATCGACCGCCGCCGATGTATCATGAGAGTGCTCACTCACGTGCACGGTGTTCAGCACCTTGGAGATGCCCGTGCCGGCGTCAAGATCCGCCGGCACCAGACCTGGCTGGGAGTCGAGTATCCACAGCTGTCGCGGCAAGGCGCACCATTCGCCTGTCGCCGCCGTCGCCGCCGCTATGGCTGCCGCCGCTGTCCCCTGCGGGGCGCCGGCCGTTGCCGCCGCAAGTGCTGCCGCCCTTGCTGCTGACGGCGCATGCGGCGATGCCGGCGCCGTCGGCGCCGCGGCAGCGGCATCAGCTGCGCTGCGTGCAGCCGCGGCTGCTGCTGCTGCTGCTGCTTGGTGTACCAGCGCCAGCGCCACCTTCCCCCCCAGGGAATGCCCCAGTACTGCCCCTGGCGCATGAGATCTGTCCAGGGGGAGTTGGGGGGGAAGTATTTGGGATGGTGGAGAAATCCCGGAAAGAAAGGGACCTAAGATGCCTCTTGAAACACATACATACATACATACATACATACATACATACATACATACATACATACATACATACATACATACATACATACATACATACATACATACATACATACATACATACATACATGCATACATACATACATACATACACACATACATACATACATACACGCAGGGGAAGATACCATGCACGATGCTCTCTACATCAGACACCACACACAACCTCCGCCACCTTGATCGGAGTTGCAGTCTATTTCGAGACCAATTACTAATACACAATAAGCCTGATGAAAAGCCGCAAATAAATTCTGCCCGCAATAAACAACCCGGGGCTACCTGAAAGCTTATCTCGTTTATATCCCCAAACTGTTCCGGAGCAGCTAGGGCCCCTTCACACCCAACCCCTCCCCACACACGCACATTCTCACAACAAATCCCTCCTGAATACCAGCATTACACACCAGCATTACACACCAGCACTACACAACAACAACGTTGCGGCAACCATGCTTCCCCTCCTTAGGGTAATCGATCCTGCGCCGCCCATCTCGGCCGTTAATACGTTCTGCGTTCCCCACCCACCCCTAAAACCACATATTACTCATCACTGGCCCCGGAGCTCGCTCACGCGCTCACGCCTTACCCCAGCAGATGTCGTACAAGCCGGGACACGTCCTCCGCGGCGGACAGCATGTTGTTGGGAGGGTGCAGACCGGGTCTGCGGGGGAAGGCCGTTGGCGGTTGACAGTTGGCGTTCCGGAAATTACGGGTAATTACTTGGCCGGGTGGAAAGATGTGTCGCGTCGTGCACACGTGTGGGTCCCGGCCGTGAAACAACCCGCCGGGAAAGTGCCGCCCAGCAGGCTGCTTGTAAGCAACATAAAACATTTGGAGGCAGTAAAAAAAGCATCGAAGGCCTCCGAGAAGGAATCATTGGACCTCTCGAGCGCCGTTTGCTCCGTAAAACAACCCAGCCATACGCCAGCTCCAGCATCAGGACCAGGAACGAAGCCCCAAAATGATATTCCTGTCTCCACCGCAACCACCACCACCACCGAAACCACCACCACCGTCAGAGACTCCCCGAGCAATATGATGAAAGGGATGCTTTCTCTCTGTGGAATATTTTCCGTTCGAGTTTTATGAACATTCCTCCTTTTGTGATTTTGTTGTCGCCGCAGCTGCACACAACCCACCCGCCCTGTCAACTCTTTTCCCCCCCTTCAACACACACACACACACACGCGCGCGCATATTCCCTCTTTACCGTTGTGCACTTCCGCCATGGCAGCGCATGTCCAGCAGCAATGCCCGCCAAGGCCCTCCCTCGGGTGGGTGGCTGGCGGCAGCAGCCTCTACCAGACGTCGGCTCCAACTTCGCCAGTTGCGACCGCAGCCCAATAGGCCGTGGAGCACTAGCAGGGTCCTACTGGGGCAGGCAACCTGGGAGGATAAGACGAGAAGAAGAGGGGTGGGAAGGCGTGGAGAGGTTTTTGGGTGGGAGCGATGGGGTTTGGGATGTGGATTGCGGAGGTAGAGGTGTTCGAGGGGGATGCGTGCTGGGGCCGTGCGGAGGGGGGTGGGATGCGGGATTGGCAGGATTGGCCAGGAGATAGATGTAATGAAATGTTGCTGATAATTTTGGATTTCGTTCTGTGCGGTGGTCGCAAACGGTTTGTTCCCTGGCGTGGTGAGGACATTGCTCACCGGGTGCTCGGGCGTGGGTGACCCAGCTGAGACTTCTTCGTATGATAGCAAAGATATGCTGCGGGTATGTCGGAGTTGATTAAAGGATGAAATCGGTATCAGGCTGGATTGACCGAACCCCGCAATGAATGTCGCTGGAGCGAGATGCCCCAAGCTTGCACAGCGCGCCAGCGTCATTTTAACGACAGCTCTCTACTGTAATATTAAAAGATGGTCAAAATGAATAATTCTTTAAGTAGGCTGGCGTGCGCACAAGCACGGTGTGCGTTGAAATCTTTGCTTCACTTAAAATCTTTTGGGACATGGAGGTGGAAGAAACTCGCAGCTACTCGTTACATTTGTGATTTTTAATGTTTAGTTTATGCATTTTCATGGTATACACATACGAGGTTGAATTATCGTTGGAGACAAACCGCTAACCAACCAAACGTCACCTTCTCCCGGGCCTGCGGGTAAAAAACCTCGCCCAGCCAAGGCCGAGATGCGCGCCGTGGCAAAAGAGCACAACACTTGAGTCAGATCTGGCAACGCAAACGATTGTGTACGACATGTAAATGTCCACCGCTTAGGTTTACTGAGGTTCCTTTCCGCGGTCGTCAGCCTCCAACAAGGGACTGAATCCTTAAGAGGGATGCATTAGGATGGCGCGTGGCAGTACGTGTACGCAGTGACTCCATTCCAGCGAGTCTGGTATGGAGCACACTGGCACGCGCCAAGACAGCAGCTACATGGCCATCTCCTCCAAGATTTAACGAATGGAACATGTTTCTAGTTTTCTCAACCAGACATCCATTCATCGGGACGCGGGCTCGTGCTTATGTGCTCGAAAGCAAAATTCTGAGGGGAGAACGCCTTGCCCAGAGCAAGGGAGAGTGTGGACTACAGCACCGCAGCGATGCTTGCTGCTCGCTGGAGTGCCATGGCTCCAAAGCAATGAATGCGGGCACCGGGTCGGCTATACCCATGGGTCGCTTGCGCGAACTGCTCAACATGTTCAGCTCCGGTGCCTGTCCTTGCTTGTCCGTGCTACCTGCGGAAGCTGGAAGGATGTCATATGGTCAATTTGTAAAGTAAGCGCAGCCTCGTGCTGGAATCAGCACTCGGTGGTCTTAGTACATTTGTGCTCCTAACTCCTTGGCGTAAAAGGACCATAAGGCAGCGGTCTTGGCCCACAACACTTTGGGAATGGCACGTTATGGGGTTGAAGGCATATCTACATAGAGCATTTCCCTGCTTACAAATGCTAAACATGACCGACTATGGACGTCGTTCGCGACTGAAAGCGAATAAGTAGGTCACTCCGTTCCCTTGACCTCGAGCGACGAGCAATTAACTCTAACTTTCCAGGTTCGTAACAGGTATTGCATGAAGAATAAGCCGCTATGTGGGGATTTGGCCACACAGTACGGTAAAACAGTTGGCCAGCCAAAAATAGGCACCAACTTATTGTGTTGACGAAGTGAGGCACTGGATTTTGCAGATTGTTATTAAGCTGTTGTTCGTTCTGCACACTTTCGCGAACCCACTCCTCGATCGGATTCAAACTTTTTCCTTCGGCCCATTCTTTTGGCACACTGCGTTGACTGACTATGCTTTGCCTTTACCAGTAAAGTCTCTTTCAAAGTGAAACCTTGTGACTTCGGTCTCGCGGAGTCGTCGGAGTGCACACGGCGGAACAAGGCGCGTTGCCGGCGCAGCTAACCGCCGTATGCGATACCGGCAACTATGTGGAACAATCGGGCACAAGGAAGGCTGGATGTGTCGGAGCCAGGTCAGTCTTCGGCGCGGGCAAATCGTTGGACGTTTTTTGTGCCAACTCTCTGCTCCACTGCAGGGACCAGCGGTCGTTCTCAGGAGCGTATGATTGACCAGCTTCCATCCAACTATCCTTGTGCCAAGCTCAAACTTGACCAGTTCTTTTTACAATGGCTGTCAGAGCACCAGGACCTGGTAAGGACGGCTGGGACCTTGCTTGTGCGGGCTGGGGCACGCATGGTATGACGCATGGTTGCTGATGCATGGACGCTGTGCAGGTCTCGGCCCTTGTCGACGACATCCAGGCTGGGCGGCCCATACACGCCCCCAGCCAGCCTGTCGGGCCCTCGCCACTCTCCCCTTCAACCGCGCACATGATATTCGCTTCCACGGTGAGTTCCGGGGCCCTGCTTCCTGCCGTTGCCAGTCCTGTTGCACGCTCCCTCCTGGATTGCCTAGGGGCCCAACCTCGGCACGACCAGCGACGCTGGATGGGGCTATGCAAGGAGTGACAATCCTGCTCTACCTTGCCGCGCCTTTCGCCCGCTTACTTTTCCTTCACACCTGTTTTTTCACTATGGCCCGCCCCTGCAGCCGCCGTTGTCACCCTCCAAAACACGGTCACCTAGCACACCTCTGTCACCGGCACGGAGATCCATGTCCGCGCTAGGAGGCAGCCAAAAGCGGGTGGGTGCGCACACGGGCAAGGCGGGCGTGAAGGGAAGCCGGACTGACTAGCCGTGGGGTGAACCATGTTGGCTTCAAGGGACTCAGACTCAGGACGTCTAAAATTTGAGTACACGGATAACTTGGTTCTCCTCCTATACAAAGCGCGACGAGGCTGCTGATCTGGGGTATCGTTCTGGGGTATGGGGGCTTTCAATGAACAGATGGTGGCATGGATGTTTGGCGGTTCGGAGGGAGTGGCGGAGAGCAGGGAAAGGTGGGGATGGCATCTCTTAAAAACTCTTTTGTGGCGCGGTGCGGCCTGGGATGGGGGATGCTCATGTGGGGCAGTGAGGCTATGCAGTCGGGAGCTGCTGGGGTCCGGCGTGGCTATATCGCCTTGCGGTAGGGCCATTTTTACCTGCGGCCCGGACCACCATGGGCTTAGGCAAATCAGGTATGTTGATGCGACCTGGAAGCCGGGGGATCCAGGGAGGGGACCACGAAACCCAGGTATTACAGATTGTTGTGGCCGGAGGGGTCGCATGGCGGGCATTGCGGTGCTGGGCTTGGGAAGGATCACATGCGACATGGTGTCATCACGTCTATCGACGGTGTGGGCTTTGGTAGGCTAATAACAACATATGTATATCCCAAAGCGAAGCGAAGGGCCCGACAAGGCGTTACAGGCAAAGAGGAGGTCCTCGGGAACGGAACGGTGCTCCGTCGCGATGCCCCCACCCAACCGTGTGTGTCTGTGTGTGTGCGTTAAAGCGAAGAGCACGTTTAGTGCATTGGGTTGGGTTTGTTCCCGCTTTCTCAGGGGGGACGAGAAGTGCTTTAGTTAAGAGCGCAGTAGGGCTGTACCTTAGGGATGGAGGGCCGCTGCCAGGGTCACTACTGGGTCCAGGGGCGGGCAACATACGGACAGGATGGCAGCCTGGCATGTGGGCTTGAGGAGGGCCTCCCTGCACTTCTCCCCACCACCGTCCTAAACGACACAACGCGGAGAGCTTGTATGTAGCTTCACACAATCAATGTAGGAATCGTCCCCCCCCCTTGTTTCCTGTGCGGGTCCGCAGGGCCCTCTGGTGGCCATCCCCCAGTTTTACTTCCCTCAGCCGTCCGCCAAAGGGGGGTTGGGTCCGGGTGGTCTGGTGCTGGAGCCCGCGCTGAGAGACTTTGTGCAGCGAATTGACACGCACTACGAGACGTGTGGGGGACCGGGCGGGCTGCCGCAAAAGGTGTTTGTCAAGATGATGCAGGAGGTAGGTGGTGAGCAGCTTACTCTTAGGTAGTGGGGACCAGGCTGGGTGGTGACCAGCTGTGGGGAGTTGGGTAGGCTGGCGTCTATACATATGACAAGGTGGGCTCGGTGCAGCTGGGGTGATGGAGGCTGACTGGGTGGGTGGGTGGGTGGGTGGAGGAGCTGTGCGGGATGGGTGAGCGAGGACTGGGTAAACCTGTGGTGGTTTGGGGTTGGGCGCGTCGGAACATGGACGTGGTGCCTCAGAACGGCATCATCATCACGACCGCGGTCCAGAGCAGTATGGAGAAACACTGAGGCGGTTGAATGGGCTGCTGGGCCTGCTGGCAGCCGCCAGGGTGCGGTGCGGTGTGGGGACGGTGGTAGGCAGTGGGGTAGACGCGGCGGGGCTCCGTGGGTGTGGCTCCGTGTTCCCGCGGTTTGGGTGTGCATGCCGTGCCGTGCCCATCTCTGTGGATCTGGGTTCCTGTGAGGGATCTAGGGTCATTCGTCCTTTCCCTCTTACACACACACACACACACACACACACCGTTATTTTCCTCAACACCGTCTTTCTCACCTTTCCCCTTCCCTATCCCCCGACACCCCCAGGTATGCGAGCTGCCATCCATGATAGCATATACGCTGTTCAGAAGGCTGTGTGGCGCATCTTCATCGCCAGGAGCAGCAGCAGCAGGGGGAGGAGGAGGAGGGGGCGGAGGGGGAGGGCCGGGAGGAGGAGGGGCGGAGGGGGTAGTCGATGAGGAGAGTGGCTCGGTGCCCCGCGACAAGCTGGTCAAGTTCTGGACGGGGCGGGGACTGGTGACGGCGCCGCCAGCCAAGCGGGCGTTCGAGTGCCTGAGGCCGGACAGCCAGAATGTGAGTAGCGGCGGCATGCCAGTCAGCGAGGACGGGGCCATTCCGACCTCTGCGCTGCCCGATTGTCCCCAGCAATTCGAATCCGGATGTGACGCCTTTACAACAGAGGGTAGATTAAACAGGCGACATCTGAACGCTTCCGGTCCGGGGCTGGGTGCTCTGCTCTGCATGGGGTGCGGGCAGCTTACTGCTTTGTGAGAGTCTTACCCGGCACCTGAGTCCAGCGGGTGCACCGGATCTTCAAGGGCACAGCCTGGGCCCGCGCCGGTTTCCTTCCTGGACTTGTAAATAACGCGCCATGTACTTCCGCACATCTTCTGCGCACCTCGCCTCGCTGGCTGTGGGACTCGTGAGACACCTGCCTTGTCGCCTTTCTCCTCCCTCCCCCCTTCCCTGGTACACTCTTGCCCTGGCAGCAGCTTCACTCGTTTGTGGTTCGTCTTTCTCCCCCCCCCTTGCTTTCTCTCTGGTCGGCCCCTGTGGTCGCCCCCTCACCTCACCTAAACACCCCCCCAATCCGAAGTCTGAGCCGGTGTTTTTTTCCCACTCGTTCGCCCTCCCCCCCGCTTGCGTGTGCGTGTGCTTGTGCGTCTCAGCACTTGTTGTTTCAAGACTTGTGGCCGTTGCTGGAGTGTGTGCTGCGCTACCACCCGGGTCTTGAGTTCCTGGCCGAGACGCAGGAGTTCCAGCGCAAGTACGCGGAAACAGTCATCCACCGCATCTTCTACTCGCTAAACAAGTGGGTGCTGGGTGGATGGGGCATCCCCTGAATGGGTGGATAATAATAATAGTGATGTTGCATGGACGCGGGTGACCTGGGTTTGTGCGTGAGTGCGAGGAGACAGGGGGATATACGCGCTCGATTTCTTCCGTTTGCAAGAGGCTGCCGGGCGCGCAAGTTATCTAGGGAGGAAGGAAGGATAAAATTAATACGTAGGATAGGGGATTGGCTTTTGCGGGGGGGTTGTTGCTTCGGCGGTGTTTCCAAGTCGCATGTGGCGAGGGGAATCCCCTGTTCCTCTCTTCCTCCTTTCCAGCAGCTTCAACTTCAATCGTTTGTGGTTCGTCTTTCCCTCCTTGTATCTCTCTTCCGGATCCTTCGTTCGTTCATCATTGACTCCCGGCTTACCCTCTGCCTCTCTTTCCTGTGCCCGCCGTTCCCGCGCATGCCCCTTCCGCAGGAGCGGCAGCGGGCGGCTCACTTTCCAGGAGTTTCGGAGCGGCGACCTGATGGACGCGTTGTGTGCGCTGGACCGGGAGAATGACATCAACAAGGTGCGGGCGGAGGGGTAGTTTTTTTTAACGGGGACGCGAAGAGAGACACGGTGTAAATGACACGGGAGGACGAAGAGGACGATGAGGACGAAGGCGGAACAGCCGAAAATGGCCTGTGTGATAGCTTCGGAACCCACGAGGGCGGGAAGGGGGTTGAAAGACCTCAAACGGGAGGGGAAGGGGTCTCTCTCTGGAGCTTGGGAAAAAGTGTGTAAGGTTTGCTTGTGAATGTGAAATCCCCTGTACGTTTCCTCCTTGCGCTGGGCTGCGTACTAGGAAACCCCGCACAACACCCGACCCGCCATCCCACCCCAGCCCAGTCCCATGGTGGTTTGGGACGCTGGTTGTTGTTGACCCTTTGCGTTTATATGCACCATATGATGGTTCTTACCCCGTCAACAACTCTCCATCTCATTCTCCAACCCAACCCTCCATCCCAACCCCCGTTCAAATCCCCGTCCGCGCAGATCCTCAAGTTTTTTTCGTACGAGCACTTTTACGTCATCTACTGCAAGTTCTGGGAGCTGGACCAGGACCACGACTTCCTGCTGGACAAAAACGACCTAGCGCATTACTCCAATTGCGCGTTGTCGTACGTCATCGTGGAGCGAATCTTTGAAGAGGTTAGAGGCTGGGCAGGGCTGGGGGCCCCCGGGGGCCATTGCGGAGTTCCTCTCTCTCTTTCCTGCCTAAATCCCCAACTACAAGCCCATTTCTCAACTTCATGACCACTATTTCCTTACCACCACCATCACAACCGTCATCAACACTGCGTTGTTTGTCCATCCCAATCATCACACACACGCTCATACACACAACCATTCACACGCCCACCACCCGATCAATCCTCTAACGCGCCCCAGGCGCCGCGCAAGTTCAAGGCCAACACTCCCCCCGGCAAGATGTGCTACGAGGACTTCGTGTGGTTTATCCTTAGCGAGGAGGACAAGACCACGGACACAGCGCTCACTTACTGGTTCAGGTGCGGCAGTCGCGCGTATGTATTTGGGTGTATGTTTGTTTGCGAGGAAAGGGGGAGGAGAGGCCCTAGCCCGGCGCTGTGGGGTGGGGTCATTGCGTCGGCATGGGTTGTGCTCGGGGTGTGGTCGCGGATATCATGTATATATGCACTCGTACCTGCGTTGTATATTTGATATTTGCAGTACGCCTTCCCCCACAATTTTTAAAAAGGCCGGATATGATATTAGTTTTGTTTTTTTTGGAGGTTCCCAAGTACACCACACGCCACCGCGCTGTCGCCCCTGCCCGGGCCCGATACATACAGGTGTGTGGATTTGGACGGCGACGGCGTCATACGGCCCCGCGAGATGCTCTACTTCTACGAGGAGCAGCTCCGGCGGCTGGAGGGCTGGAACCAGGAGCCAGTGCAGTTCGAGGACCTGCTGTGTCAGCTGCATGACATGCTGGCGCCAGCGAAGGAGGGCGCGTTCACACTCAGGTGCGCATATCGGCGGCGATGGTGGTGGTAGCGGTAGCGGTGGTGGTGGTGAGCGCAGAGGGAAGTAAACTAGTGAGCGAAAGAAGGACCAAACCTGGGACCGGGGGGCTGGGCTCTCGGGCTGGACACAACTTGTCAGCTGATGGAAGCTCCGGGTAGGACGGGGGTCGCCCTCCCGGTGGGCGGTGGGGCAAGGCGACCATGGGAAAGGAATAAGTGGTGAAGAGGTCGGGCCGCTACCCGACCTAAAGAAGTTGACCATACCGCACACACACACACACACACAACACCACAGCAGGTTTTGCCAAATCTCTACCACATCTCGACTCGGCTGCGACACTGCAACAGCACACACACACACACACACAACACCACAGCTGCTGGTGCGCTGGATCTCCTCTCCCCTCTGCTCCAGGGACTTGAAGCGCACGAAGCCGCAGTCGGGGCTGTTCTTCTCAGCTCTGTTCTCGCTGCACAAGTTCGTCAGTTTCGAAAACCGCGACCCCTTTGCGCAGCGCGCGGAAGCGGCCGAGTTCGCGGGGTTGTCGGATTGGGACAAGTTCGCCAAGATCGAATACTTCAGGTGTGAAGCGTTGGGAAGGGTGGGAGACTCTAGATTGGGCTGTCCAAGGGACTTTGGAAAAATGGGAGCATGGTGTGCTCGTGGCTCAGCCTGGCGTAGGAGACGAGAGGGGGGGACATATTGGGGCGCCGACGGAGTGACCTACCTACCACATTCCAACCTGGCCCATCCCATCGGCAAAAGCTTTAGCTGCTTTTCAGGTACAGTACACTGTGAAGTATGGAGGTCTCAATTCTTCTGGGGCACGGAGGTCTCAATTCTTCTCGTCCGCCGCGCGCTTGTCCTTTTCCGGGCAGTCAGTCCCGGCGCGTTAACGGAATCATTTGCACCGGGACTGGCCCTTGTCAACCGACCGAGTATGTTTGCAGGCTCGCCAGCGAAGACGACCAACAAGATCAAGGGGGTGGAGTGGACGGCGACGACAACATGTGAGCAGCTGGGATGGAAGGAGGAGGAGGAGGAGGATGGGACACGCGCTGCACAGCTGACGCGGGCGAGGCGGTTGTGGGGCAACAACCCTTACGTGCGGCAGCACTTGGAGGGGAGGTCTGCGCAGCGACTTAGGCCCGCTTATGGGCTTTTGTGGGCACGAAGCCGTGTGCCGTGCGCGAATAGCACCCGCAATAGCAGCAGCAGCAGCAGCAGTAACGACGTAAAGTAGCCACAGCTCCCGCCGGCGATGGATGCCAGGCGCCACAGGCACTCTCTCTACTCCGCTTAGCTCAGATGCACCTCGAGGTGGTCGGAACCGGCAATGGAGACGTCTGAGAGCTTGCGGTCCATCGCTATCCCCGATGCGGCTGTAGGGGGTTTCCCAACACCCAACTCCCCGGCAAAGGTGTTGGTTGAGGCGTAAGAGGCTGTTCGGTTGCGCGGATGTGCCTTGCCCGTCTGTTGCCCTTCCCAGCAGTACATTTGGTGGCATGGCAAGCCAAACCGATTAGAGTAAAGACGCCAAGGGCATTGTGTTTGCTCCAGCCGCAGCGCCACGCCCAGACGCTCTTTTAAAGACAGCACAGAAGAAGACACACACAGGCAAGCTCGTTCACACACGCACGCACCACATTGACATGCACTACTCGTGAATGCACGCAATGGGAAGCGTTTGAGAGGTTTCCAGTAACGGATGGTCGACAGGAAAGACGGACGGAGGGCCGTGTCGTTGGCTGGACGGGCGTGAAGGCGGTCTGTCTGTCTCGGACGGGGGAAAAGGCGCCTGCGGTTGTGCGGCGCGTGATTCTCTGCGTGGGGGCTTTTTCAATGGGTGCGGATGTTGGGATGAGGGGTTGTGCCATGGCAGGTGGGGGCCCGGGGTCGACGACGCTGGCGTGTGACGTTCAGATGTGAGAGACTCGTTCATGTCCGGGTTGGGAAGAAGCTGCATACGGAGGTCCGGATTTTGTGGGGAGCGCAGGGGGAGGCACGCAGTTGAAAAGGTGTTGCAGTCGGAGCGCGAACGGCGGGAGCGAGAGCCGGGCGAATTTGGGGGACAAGCTAGTCAGTTGATGCAGGGGCATGGGATGTGGGGAACGTTGTCGAGTGTGTGATGATGGTGACGGTGCTGGTGATTTGTGTTGTTTTTTTGTGTTGGAAGCGATGGCATGTCACTGCTACATGGGTATATGAGTCACTGCTTTTTTTCTTTAAAGAAGACGAGGAGAGGCAGACAGGGGGTTGCAGGTGGACGTGAAGGAGGCCGGGTGGAAGGGGGGTGTTGCGTTTGCAGCTTGGAAAGAGAGCTTACTGGGCATTGGCGCAGCAGGCCTGGTGTGCACAGGGCCCTGCTACCACTCCAATCGTATTTTGACCCTTCTTAACGGAAAAGAAGGTTTAAATGGCAGCTACAGATAGTGACGGGGCCCGTGAACGCAAGATGGAATTGGGATCCAGTCAGCCAGCGCAATCACGCGCAACCGCGACTAAGGTATATCGATTCGGTGGAGGGAGGTAGCACGTCGCCTGGCGGAGCAGCTGTCAGCTATCCTTCTGCGCTACCATGAACACGGCGCCTCGCAAATATCCTTACATCAATCGTGCGGCGCCCTGGCTAATGAGTTAGGAGCTACAGGTAGTTTATAATTGGAATCGGTAGTAGCCCTGAATTTACGTTTTGTTTTACATATTAAATTAGCCTCTTGCATCAGCCTTGTGGTACGCCAGCCCAAATCGGTCCATGCCAGATGGTGGGCCATTTTTCCGGGGTGCAACAACCCCCCGGGATAGGATGATGGATAAAGCTTTTTTCTTTCTCATCTTGTCCTGCTGTTCGTGTACCTCAGCGAAAGACCTCGGGTTCCAAAACGGAATTATGTACGGCAGTACGGCAGACCACCATGTGGAGGAAACTTCACAGTAGGGGCACGCCTGCAGGGGTAAGGAGCTAACAAGTATAGTTAATAAGTTAACATGGCGAATAAAGATGCACGATCGCGCTTACCGCGCACCCTGCGGCTTGCCACACGACCTTACATGCGAGTAGGTGCTGCTGCAGGTTTCCCGAGCTTCTGTGTTGGTCCAGATCTGTTCAAGAGAGATGTTCGTTTACATAGCGAACCCGCAGCTGCAACCATGTTGATAACGATCGCTTAAAGCAGAATACACAAAATACCATAATCACCGCTCATGCATGCTCAATTTCATGCGCCTCAGCCTGTACGGCAGGGCTCCCCCCCCCTATACGTTGCACGTCCTTCCGCCACAAGATATATTATTACATTGCGACAGAAAAAAAGATAGCAACGATATGCAGCATGCCAACCAACCGTTAACCAACAGCAACGAAATAACAACCAAAACGGCATACGAAGGCGATGGAGGATCATTGTTATGTGACGAGAAGGGGGCCCTAGGCGGCAGCAGCTTTTCCCACCGCATACGCCTATCCTCCCCATCCGGCTGATGCCTCATCCCCCGAGCAAAGATCGGAAGATCTTTCGAAACGATTTCAGCACGCATCAAGACGCGGCTGCCTTGGCAAATTTTCTTCTTCCTATTTTGCGTCAATAATAAGATCTGCTCTTGTCCTTTTTTCCCCCAAAAAAGATCAGCTCCACATTTAAGAGAGCTACTCTCTGCGCCAGATGGATGATGGTACGTGAACCGGACTCCGGCACATTCCTGCCATACTGGCACGGCCCAGCGAGAGGAGTGAACACGAAAATCAACATGGAAATCAACCTTGAAGTGAGAACAAGGACAGGCGTGAGGAAAACAAGGACAAGGTATCCTCCGCTTCCTTTGCCGCCTCAATCCTTTTCTCATACATCCATATCTATCTACCCACCCATCCACCCAACTAAGCAACCAACCAACAAGCAGCAGCAACAGCAGCAGCAGCTACAATCACCAGCACCAGCACCACCGCCGCTGCCCAATGCAGCGCAGCGGCGCAATAACCGGTCACACTGCTCAAGCTATTACATGTCGTACTATGCACTGTGCTATCTGGCGTCGTCCGGTGCTGCTCCCCTTCCTCCACCACAAGGGCGCATGACGGCTGCCACCGCGTGTAACGCCGTTATAGAATCTCAGTACGACACGGTACGACATGACACAAGCACGACACTGCGCCCCTCGGAAAGCAGCGTGTACGCACACGCATACACGCATACACACATACACACCAACACCAACACATTCTCCGTGCAAAGCGTGGTGTTTGCGCAAACAGTCTCCCCCTTCCATCCGCGCGATACCATTACACCTCCACCACCACCACCACCACCACCACCACCACCACCACCACCACCGTAATCGCACTAACCTGGTCTTAGGGCCCGGCCGTTCACCAGCACAACGCTCGGCGTCCATCCCAGGTGAACGCCCTCAACAACGACACAAGGACCTTACGTCCATGGCCCCCCCGGCTTTTACGGACACACCCGCACTTGTGTGCGGAACTTGTAACTGTAACTTTATCGCAAAACGGGACCCAGCAAGGGCCCCTCCCCCCCCCACACACACAGCCTTTCGACCGCAAGCCTTGGGAGTGCACCCACCACCAACAGCCACCAATCGATGTGGCAGCCACCCCGACCTGGCTACTAGCGCCACCTACTCTACAGTTGCAATTGAGGCAACGCAAGGAAAAACAACTTAAATGCCGCCACTTGCACGCCACGGCTTCTCGTTGTACTTTTCGAACCTTTACAGACCACCCTCCCCCTAAGAACCCTATCATCATCACGCAAGATAAGAGCCAGATAAGAGCCAGGGCAACAAAGGACCTATTTATCAGTGTTCGTCGGTCGGAAAAAGGACACCGAGGAGAGGCCTCAGGGGGGGTGCGGTCCTCTCGAGCTGTCTCTTAAAGGCGACACCCGCAACCTTTACCCCCCCCCCGCCTTTGCCGGTGTTCAAAAAGGCTGAGTGGCGGACAACTTCAACAACAGACAGCACTCCAGACCCTAACCCTAAAACCCTAAGGGGCACAGCTCCTCCTTCCCACGCCTTGTTGGCGTGTGCGCTTGTGGAGGTGCTGAAGCTAGGGAGCGAGCGCATTGTGGGACATTTTGTGCTTATCTGGCTTATCCTCTACATATCCCTCGCATTTGTCCGTATGTATGTATGTATGTATGCGCGTATGCAATGCCTTGCCCTGCCCTGCCCAGCCATTCCTCGGCCCAACTCCTTCCCAGCGACACCTCAAGATACGCAACACACGCACTCACATAATACATACGAACATACGTACACGCTTACACGCGCATTTCATTCCTCGTTCGAATTCTACCCCGCCGTCCATAATCGCATTGCTCTACTTCTTCTCTTCATCTTCGCGTCCGATGGTTCCTAAAGCAGTGTCCACAGAGAACAGCAGATTAGCTTAGACATGCCGTACATATCGCCCGTCGGCGAGCAAAAGCGTCACGGGTCAAGTTCATGGGGTACGACAACCGAAATAACAAACCCCAATAGTTTCGAAACATTTCTCTCTCCAATATTCATTACGGCGACGCAAACGAGACATGGTCTGTTGCGGTGGTGGTAAATGTCGCTCGGATGATGAGAGGCCTCCGCACCTATCATCAATCTCCGCGCCGGAATGAGGAGGCGACGCTGCTGTGCCTTCCTAAGCACATACGCTGGCACGGAAACACGGGCACACATACTTACGTACATACATACATACATACATACATACATACATACGCTACATACGATAATACATACACACCGTAAAAAGGGCATCAGGAACTTCAGACACAAGACCAGGACTGCACGTCTACTGAGCATCGCGTCCCAGTTCGAAAGAGAGAATAACCTGACCAACTGACCAACGAACAAACTGTAACGAATCAACCACCCGAAAATGTTTTCCCGACGTACATCCATTCGGGAATTCCCGGCGACTCGAATTCACGGGACCTCAAAACGCCGCCGCAACGACGAAAGACGAAGTGCGGCAGAACACAAACATCAACACCAACATCAACACCAACAACTGGCGCGTTTTGACAGGAGCTGGAGGAGAAACGCCTCAAGATGCGATGCGTGAGAATTCCAGGAGAAAATCTGGCCCTACGTGCCTACGTGCTTGTGTGGAATGCGCGTGCGAGGGGGTCTCTGCCGTTCCAAGGAGGATCTCTCCAGGGGGTCCTCTCAGAAAGAGCAACAACAACACCCCTTTAGTGACCTCCCCCCGGGCAGCGTCACCAAAAAAGGAAGGAAGAAAGAAAGACAGAAGATACCAGACAGCCGCAAAAACCCAACACCAGCCGATGGAGCGCAGTACGAAGCGACCCACCTACGAAGCGGCCCACCTTTGCGACCCATCCAAATGTCAGGTAGCGCACAGCAAAACAGCGAGTAAGTATACGCACGTGTGTATGTATGTATGTATGTGTGTGTGTGTGTGTGCGCAGCGAGGCAATACGAGTGCCCACCTCACCGAGCGCCCAAACTGCCCTACTTCGTGCCGTACGCTGTCGGCGTCGTGTGCTGCGCCGCAATCACCTTGCCACTCGCCGCCGCCGCCGTCGCCGTCGCCGTCGCCGTCGTCGTCGTCGCCGACCCGCCGACTGGCCTCAGTGCGGTATCTGCTAGCCTGATCGTGACGTACACATCTGGGGATGCCGACTGACCGCTACCGCCGCTACCGCTACCGCTACCGCCGCTACCACCGCCGCTGCCGCGACGCGATGCGTCGTCGAAGCCGGTGACGCCGCCGCCGGAAAGGCTTCCCCTTGAAGAACTGGCCGATGCCGCCGCCGCCGCCGCCGCGGTCGTCACAGACGGGAGCCATCGGGGTCCGGCCGCCGCCGCCGCTGCCGCCGCTGCCGCCGCCGCGGCTGCCGCGGGTGCTTCGCCATCTCGGACATCATGCCATGTCAGCGGGCCCATTGTCATGGCAGGCATGGAACGGTGCGGCCGGTCTGCTAACGTGGCGGGCGTGAGCAGCGTTGGCTGCGGCGGCGGCATTCGCGAGTTAGTGGAGGCTGGGTCAGCGGCACCAGCATGAGCACCGGTAGCTTTTGCTGCTGCTGCTGCCGCCGCCGCCGCTGCTGCTGCAAAAGCACGCTTCACAGCTGCCTCATTCGCAGCCTGGATGCCTCCTGGGTGCATGCCGAGGCTAACGATTGGGATGTACGGCGGCACCGGCGGTGACGCCAGCTGCTGCTGTTGCGGGGGCGGCGCCGCCGCCGACGAAGTGACTCCAACAACCCCAGGTCCGCCTCGCCCAGGTCCGCCGTCACGGCCTGTTGCAGTCAGGCCCCGCACAGGCCACTGACTCCATGCAGCATCCGCCACCGTCGCCGCAGCTGCGCCGCCTTCGCCACCGTCTCGGCTGCTGCCGCCGCCGCCGCCGTCGCCACTGCCGCCCTTATCCAAATGGCGCAGCACCTGCCAGCGATGTATGAGCTCCGATTGAGGCTGTGGAGGTGCCGCGCTGCCGGTGCTACGGCCTCCACCGTTCCTGTTGTGGACCGACGCCTTGCCAGCCTGCTGCTGCTGCTGCTGCTGCTGTGCAGCCATGGCGGCCACTATTGCGCCGCCTAACCTTCCTTCCGCATCCACCTCTGTTACGGCGCAGCGTCGTGCGGCGGCCATAGATCGAGCTCGTTCTGCTAATGCCGCTATCAGCACCGCCGTCGTGTCGCTCGGCGGCCTCGACGACAAATCCATCACGGCCGGCCCCCAGTGCTGAGGGTAGTGCTGGGAGAGCCCGTCCTGGGGCTGCGGCTGCGGCTGCGGCGCAGCTGATGGGTCGGCAGACAGAGGCTCAAAGCTGCTGCTGCCGCTGCCGCCGCCGGCCCCGCCGACGCCGCTAATACCCGCCGCCACAGCAGCAGCCACCTTGCGCTGCATACAGGGCTGCTGTTGCGGCGGTTGTTGCTGCTGCTTTGCCAGTGAGGGTGAACCCCCGGTCACCGCGCGGATCGGTTCCCCACCAAATCCCGGCTCTGCAGCCATCTCCCTCCCTTGTCCTCGCGGCGCTTGCTCCGCTGGATGGATCTGCTGCTGGTTCTGCTGGTGGTTGTACGGATGTACGGAAAGCGGTCCTCCATGCATGGCTCCCCCTTGCGGGTGAGAGCGCTGTTGATGAAGATGAAGGTGTCGTTGGCGATACCCCGCCGCCAGGTGTGGGTACGTGTACGAGTGTGCGTACGAGTGCGGGTGCTGCAGCAGCAACTGGGAGGCCAAAGAGGGATCAAGTGGGGCCGGTTCATGAACCAGATGACCCGCAGAGACCTTTGTCCGTAGCGGCACCGGCGTCGCCGCCGCTGCAATGGCTGCCGCTGGCCGGGATCCAGCTGGCACGGTAGCGGTGGTGGCGGCGGCGGTGGCGGTAGCGGCAGCAGAAGCAGTCGCTACGCGCAGCCCCATTGCAGCGTCGTACAGCACACGCGCACCGGCGCCGTATTGTCCCGCCGCCGGCAGGGGCCGCGACGGCGGCAGGGGGAGCGGGTCAGCGCTCGAACACGTCTGGGGAATATTGTCGAGGCAGGACGAGGGAACATGCAGCAACGCCTGGTTGAAGGGGATTACGGCTCTGGCGGCGGCGGCGGCGGCTGTAGCGGCGCAAGGTCCGCTAACACGCACATTGGGGCCTCGACCGGCAGCGGTAGCGGCGGTAGCGGCAGCGGCAGCTTGCTGATCCGATGCTCCCGGAGCCGATGCTGATGCCTCCACCTCCGACGCGGCCACAGCGGAACCTGAGGGTCCGCCGTCCTGCCGTACTGGCGGCCCCGCAAGTTTGCTTACCGTCGTCGGCGTTGCTGTACTCCCTGCAGCCTGTTGTCTGGTGCCGTGTGTCGCAGTTCGGCTGCTGCTGCTGCTGCTGCTAGTGCTACCGCCGTTCTCAAACCCGTCCTCCACCGTCACGACAACAGGCGAGGCGACGGCAGCGGTGGCGGCGGCGGCGGTCGTGGTGGCGGCGGATCGGAAATCCGCCGCTACAGCCTGATGATCGCAATGACGCGGCTTACCAGTTCTATGCTGATGTGGCACGGGGCCGGTAGCCGCAACCCTCTCCGTCGCGACGGCGCGGGCGGCGGTAGCGGCGACTACTGCGTCTCCGGCGGCAGTAGCAGCTGCAGCAGCACTCCAGGGGTGCACCGCTGCCGGCGGCCCTAACGGCCCGACCTCCGCCGCCGCCATAGCGCCCCCTGGCGTCGTCATCGTGGGGCTGGTGGCGGCGGCGGTCTCCTTTTTCAAGCCTTCTTGCGCGATGCAGATGCCACTATTCCTAGGACTCCCACTCCTATCCGCCGCGGCTGTCGCCGCCGCCGGCGGCGCCATCCGCGCCACCAGGTCCTCCACCGATACCGACTGGCAAAGCGCGGCCAGCTGCTTAATAACCATTTGCACCATTTCCGGAGTGAGCTTGTCTCTACGCGTCAACAGGTCCTCCGCTATCCGCATTTTCTCTAAAAGGTCAGGACCGCCCTTAGAAGGGGACTGGGCCATCCGAGACAAGCAGGATGCGGGATCAGCGCCCAGATCTTCGGCGGCTGTAGCAGCAACTGCTGTTGCTGCTGCTGGAGCGGCAGGGGCAGTAGCAACTGCAGGCTGACAGGTAGCGTTAGGTGAAGAGCTAGGTTGTTGTTGTACGGCACGCCCTGCGGATGGCGGCATGGTTTTTGACGTTGTGAAGGAGCCGTGCCGACCGGCAGCCGTGTGGCTAGCTGCCGCCCACGGCATCAGTGGCGCCGCCGCCAGTGGCGGCTGCGGCGGCTGTGGTGGCGAGGGCTCATAATAGTCCGAAATTGGCAGCGAAGGCTGTGCGAAGGGCTGATGGCTACCGACGCTCATTCTGTTCCCGGCATGCAGGCTGGCAGCAGTAGCGGAGGGTACGTGGGGTAGGCTCGTAGTGGGGCAAGGCGCGTCGGAGGTTGTCGACATGCCGGGGGTGGGCCGCATGCCTGCCGAGTGCCGCAGCCGGTAGGGGTGGAGCGGGGCAGGGGGCCCGCGGGGAGCTGGAATGCCGCTTGTCGAGGACCAGCGCGGTGGTGGACCCGCGATAGCGCCACGAGGCTGCGGTGCTTCTTCCGCTGGGTGGTGTTGCACCACAGGGTCCTGGCCCCTGGCGCACGAGGATGGATGGAAGTCGCTATCCTGAAAGTCGCCGTGGCCGAAATTCACCACAGAGCTGACAAGGTCATACTGTTGTGAGACCGGTAAGCGACTGCTGGTGAAACTAGCGTTTAGACGCTTCGCAGCCGGAAGCCGCGCCCATGTGCCGTCGACATTATGAATGGGGAAGCCTTGAGTGGGCGAGCTGCGTTTCTGCGGCACGGCGGACGATATGTTTTGTTGCAAAGAGGATTTCCCAGGATCGGGGTAGGGAGCAAAATGGTCGCGTCGGGGCGCGGAGTCGTAACCATTCCCCGCGAAATTCAGAGGCGCGAGCCCTACCCTTGCGGATAATGCAGAAGCGCGGTCGGAGCTGGATTGGGGGTCCATTGCTACTAAGTCGTTTGATTTTTGAGGTGGAGCTGGGCACGTATCCAGCGCAGTCGCTTCGATGCCATTAGTCCCGTACTCGCAGGCAGCCCATCTGCACGGTAAGTTGGAGGTCAGTCAGGCCTGAAACAAGCCCGCTTGCATTATTAAAAAACAGAGATCAAATTGAAAAATGTTTAGCTGCTGTTTACCTTTCCTGAGTGCTTTGCCCGCCCGCCCCTCCATTCGAGCGCTGCAAAAGCGGGAAGATACGTAAGACAGACGAACCAGCCATAACAACGAAGCACCAAAACGAAGAGACGAGAGGATAACCCAAAAATTATTAAACAAAAGAAAGTCACCGCTTACTTTTCCAGGTGCACGCCTTCGTGTGCTCCTCTTCTGGGTGTCGCAACCATTCTTCTCATCCTTTCCACCAAGCAGTTCCGCAACACTTGCAAGGGCATCAAGTTTCTGCGTAGAATACCGTGATTAGTGAAACCATGCCTACATGGCAAGTACCTCCCTGACAACGGTAGACAAAGGGCTGCTCGTCCAAGGTACACACAGCGCGAGTGACTGCAACGACTGCAACTTAGGGATCGCGCATACTCACTGAAAAGGCCATTCAAACAGAACCACCTTGCCTCGGGGCTGGATGGGAGGGTACACACAGGGGAGGGGGTCACGAACTGGCGGGCGGGAACGCGGGAACATGAACGCGGTGGAATGACCTCAAACTAACTAAGCTGCACGGATTAATGAGCTCATACTAGGGAAGTGGCGTCCTATGGCCTCAAAAATAGACAACGTCGGGCGCGTCCCCTGATGCTTAAACCGATGGCGCGCCGGACTGCCGGCAAAACACCTTTGCGCGCAACACAAACTCACTACACTGTATCATATCCAGGATACCATACAATCATGGCTCACCTGGTGTCTTTACGATTCGCGGAAGCTGCGCAACTCTATGCAACTGCTGGAGGATACGCTGAAAGATTTCTGAAATCCTCCAAGGAAAAGGCTGCCAGGTTGGCGGACCACCTCAAGACCATGCGAGGCCTTCGACTAATCGAATGTGGTGGGTTGCGGGAGTTTGGCAGTCACCTTTGTCCTTAACCTAGAATGTTCGTTATAATCGATGCATGTATGAAAGACGTGCAAGATAGGTTTTGAACCTGAAGAGCTCGATTTAGGACTGCCCATGACCACAGGTTAATTATTCATAGTACACAATCGGGACGGGTGTATAGCCCGTACGACACAAGGACACGATTTTCTACGTCCAGGCCGTGAAAGTCCAGGTAGCGTTTCTCCTAGACGGCTATATTTATATGAGAACATTTTATACTGCCCAGATGCGGGCTACTAGTGGACATTGTCGGGGTGCCAGCCAGCCGCTGGCAATGTCGCGGTTGGGTTGCCGAAGGCCAGGCCAAAGAACGCGAAAACATGCAGCGTTTATGGAATCATTAACATGTATTAATGTTTTCCGTTTGCACGTCTTTCACTGGCCTGACCTCCGCTGCGCTAGCTCTGGCTTCTACAATCCAGATCTCCGGGAGGTAGCAAAACGCCTGAGCGCAATATTTTACAAAGGTTAGAAGCAACGAGGAAAAAGACTCACGAAACTGAGTCGTCGGAACCGTACTGCGAACCCTATCCAGCCAACCAACCACTGTCAAGCCGCACATATCCTTTCTACGCGGCACGTCATGCCGCCATGCTGCCGCGCCGTCCACCCCACTCCATCCAAAAGCCTGCGGACTTGCATCCTCCCTGCCCCGCAGATCCAGTCGAGGCCACTGGATACTCTTCCTCCAACACTACTCCAGCAACGGAGCCCCAAACCCGCTCGGTACCACACGCAGTGGGGTCGCTGTCACAGACCAATCCCGAGCCACTCAGCTCCCAGGACTCCGACCCTTCCCCTCCTCCTCGTCCTCATCTTCCTTCCCTTTCGCTCCAAGACCTGCCCCTCTGGCGGGCGGATTCCGTGGTCCTGCCTGGCCAGCAGGCCCTGCTGCACATCCACACGCCGCATTACGTCCACATGTTTGATCGCCTGTTTGCCACCTCGGGGGGCCCCGGCCAGCTCTTCGGCCACCTGCATCTTCCTGCGGGCTCGCGCAATCTGGGCGCTGCCGAATGGGCCTTATGCGCACCTGGCTCCCGAGCGCCCGCCGTGGGTGTGCTGATGGAGGTGAACCGGGCGGTGCGGCTGCAGGATGGGAAGCTGATGGTGCTCGCGACGGCGCTGTGCCGGATCCAGGTGCGAGTGAGTGTCTGTGTGTCTGTCTGTCCCCCGCCCGCCAGTCAGCCAGGCGAGCAGACAGACAGACAGACAGATAGCCAGCCAGATAGGCAGTTAGAGCGGCAGTTAGGCAGGCAGTTAGATAGGCACTTAGACAGGCAGTTAGAGCGGCCGTTAGACAGACAGATAGAAGAGCACGCCGGTAGTCAATATTCGGAGGTGCAGCTGCTAGAGCCGCCGTGCAGCGTTGCCGACGTTTCAGTGTGTTGCCATCCGCCGCTGAATCTTCCGTTGGATGAAGAATCCTCTGTTGCAGCAAACAGGTTGGCCATAGACGTTGCGCAGAGCAGGACGTCCGCACACAGAGCACAGTGCAGTGGAGACATCCAGAGGGGGGGTGGCGAGCTCTCCGTACCTGCCGTGCAGTTCACTTTTCTACGCATAATCCGATTACACTCTAGAGCTACTCTCTTTACTAAACAAACACGAACACCTGCAGTCCATAAGATACCTACAAGCTTCCTCCGTTTGCGGTTTACTCCTTTCACCGTTCCATTTCGAAACACCGTTGCGTTTATCACCGTTGCGTTTATATATTAACGAGTCACGGAGAGCCTAATCCTCATACATGTGCCAGTCAGCTTTACTGCTCAGGTACGGCTTGTCGATGTGTGATCCGGTGCTGCCGCAGGTTCGGCAGTGCTTGTCTGAAACGCCGTACTCCCGTGCCCGAACGGAGCTCTTCCATGACGATGAGCTGCTGGAGTCGTACCACGCCGCCGGCCTGACGGCGGTGCTGGGTACGGACACTGGAAGCTCAGCATCCCCCTCTATAAGTGTCGCCGCCTGTGCCGGCACGGTGCCCATGAGCTCGATGGGACCAGCGCTGGGCACTCCTCTTCCGGACCACCCGGCCATGCAGCAGCTGCAGGCGCAGGTGCACGGTGTGGACGGCGGCGCCTCCACCCCAGCAGGGATGTTGCTGCACACAGCCGCTGCTGACGCGGCCCTGCACGCCGCCGGGGTGGCAGCGCAGGCTGCCGCCACCGCTGCCACCTGGCGCTGGCTGGAGTATGAGGCCTTCACGGCGCGCGCAGCCGCGTGGCCGGGGCGCCGCCCTGCCGAGGGCACCGATCCGTGGGACACTCGGCGGCTGGTTTCAGAGCTTGTGGATCACGGCGTACTCAGCATCGTGCCCTTTGCCGATGGACCGGTAGCCGGGCGGTGGGACCTGGCTTCCTTACGCGACGTGGCAGCAGCGGATGCCGTCGCCGCCGCCGCCGCTGCCGCGGCAGCAGGTTGCGTAGCAGTTAGTGGGCCTGATCCCCCACGTTTCGTTGCGCACGAGGAATCTGACACCACCGGCGCGGGCCCTTCTGATTCAGGTGGGCGTGAGGCGGCGCCGGGTGGTGCAAGTAATAGCAGTAGCCAGCGGTCCGCAGCAGCTGTCCTAGACGTCCAGGAAGGGGATGAAGGGCCAGGAATGAGCACTGGAAAGGACCAAGCGGCGGCGGCGGAGCAGCAGCGGCCCGATAGCTGCTTGCGGCCTATGGACTCACCCGCATGTGCGCCACCCTTAGCAACGGACAGGGGCCTCGAGCCGAGCCCTGATGCGGTGCCACCCAAGCCGAGCAGCAGCGGCCGCGGTGAGGCCGAGGGGTCCCAGCCCGAGGGGACTTCCCGTCGCACGTTCTCGGCTTTTGGCAGCGCCGAGCGGGGCAGAGGTGAGGAAGACAGGGACGAGGAGAAGGACGAGGAGGCGGATCTTACGGGGCATACGACGTACGACCTGGTGCTGCTGGAGTCGCAACTGTGGCAGGAGCTCGACTCGTTGGCGGTGCTACAGGCGAGGGTTAATCAGCAGAGGCTAGGGCTGCCACTGGGGCTGCTGCAGCTGCGGCCCAGTGGTGCGCTCGCAGCGGCACAGCTGGCCGCGGCTGCGCCGCCCTCCGTTGCGTGCCGGCGGCCTGAAACCGTCGCCACCGCTGCCGAGTGCGCCCATGGGAGCGAGCCCGAGCAGCCGTATACTGCCGAGGATCCAGCTCTAGATACTCCAGCGGCTGGAGACGGAGGTGATTGCGGCAGCGGGGCAGCGGGCAGTGACAGTGCAACGACAGTGAGGGAGTCGGTGAACTCAACCGTGGCGGATGTGACGGAAGACTACAGCTTAGCTGGCAGGGGTCGGAGTGGCGACACCGCGGAGGACTCTTCTGAGGGAGCAGTACAGCAGCAGCCGCAGCCGGTGCTGCCGCATGGCACAGTGCAGCCCCATGTCCATCCCGCCTCTGAGGGACTTGACGTATATTGCCATCCGGACTACCCACTGGAGAGGCGAATTATGCGGCTGTCGTATGCAGCCGCAGGCATTTTCATAGAGGTAGGTTTGCAGGCTGAAACAGCCCTGAGTTGTTAACCTGCTGTACGTGGAGCCTTGGCGTTGGCTCCAATGCTTGCCTTTCCTGGAATTCCCCATAATATATGGACTATGGATGTGGAAGAGGCGCCGTCTTAGGGTTTGGGAAAGGTAGTTTGATAGCAGATGCCTGTTACATTAGGAGTATGCAAATGGGAAGGCAACATACATTGCCACGATTATGCTTCGCCTTGATTGCTGAGACACATAACGAACGTACAAAAAAGGCAAGTGTATGTCATGCCGCGTATACGCCGTTGTCAGTGTCAAAGCTAGTGGGCATTTCCCTGGGACCTTCCATCACCTGGCTGCTTCCGTACAGGCTCAGGACTCCGGTTCACGGCAGGAATTGCTGGAGATGCCATCAGTTCGTATGCGGCTACAGAGCATCCTACGGCGAGCACGAAAAGCTCGTAAAATCCTCGCCGCCATGGCCGCCGTTAAAGGCATCCGGCCTGGGCAACGGGGACTGTAACCTGTTTTACCCCCGCTGATGTGGCCAGGCGTTTCCCAGCCTTATCAACATATATGCCCCTATCCTTGTAGCGCCAAGTCCGAATAAGTTTTATAGTCAAACAGCCACAAAAGCGAATCTGCATTGTTTCACACTATTAACTATTTTACCAACGTGAATACTCACCCGAACGTAAGATTACCCGGGACACGCGCGCCCAAGTCACGTATCAGTCAAATGTCAGGACAGCCAAAAAGGAATAGATGCACTCAGAAATTTGAACAGGTTCATCTGCTTTCTGCATCTCAGAATGCAAACAACCGGCGCTGTGGCGCCTTGATCTTGTGCACTGCCGCTGGTGTCTGGGGAAACCAGACATGGGCATGCCCTCGTCCCTCTGCAAACTCGTCGGTTGCGGCGCTAGCAGTGACTGCCAGGACCGCTGGGCACATAGCATCCCAGCCCATTCCGGTGACGAGCCCGTTTTGTAGCAAGCCTCCAAGCATGCAGACAAGGCGTACACGGACAGGCGTACACGCACTGATCCCAGCCGCACGGACCCCTTAGTGAGCCAACCCTGCCTGCCGCAATCGCTGCTGCCGCATATGTATCTGCGGTGCGAGCTATTTAGCCTCCGCCTTCGACAGCAGGGGTGCGTTGGCGTCATCTACCAAGCCCGATTCCGTGTCCTTCAGCGGATCTGCCTTTGGCGGCAGGCCGTCTTTGGCTGAATCCTTGTGCCCGTGCTTGTCCTTTTTGGCAAAACCCTGATAGTACAGAGCGCCGAAGACCATCGTAGAACCAACCCTGCAATACAGTGCGTGGGACCAAGAGAATAGGCAGCATATTTTTAGGGTAAGAAGTTTCACCATTCACAGCAACACGTGGGTTCCTGGATTAAACCTCATGCACTCTTATTAACCTCACCCTCGAAAAGGCCATATAATTCAGCAGTTGTTTCTACGTTCTTTGTGTCCTTCCACGCCCATCCCCAATACCTATTGCAACTCTCCGTTTTGGACCTTGTGAGAGCATCATATGTGCAGCTGCTCCAACCCGATAAAGAGCCGATTGCCAGGTTGGCACCCATTCCAACAACCCACGCACAGCACTGCATTCTTGTACCCACCATTGGCCGAGGCTCAGTGGGTGCGCAAACAGCACGCAGGACAGCAGGATGGATAGGAACTGCCGCGTGGTCATAATTGTCGCAAACACTAGCGCGCCAAAGGTTTTGATCGTGTACGAAATAAACAGCGCGCCAATGGTGGCCGCCAATGAAAGGGTGATCATGGACGTGAGAGCATCAGGGTGGTGGCTCACGAAAGTAATCGCCTTTGGCAGCTGCCCCGAGGAGAACAGGCCTGCACGGATACCAGCAGAAATACACTGGTTAGTAATAAATGCGGGAAGAGAGGTTGGCAAACCCACTCTCCATGTCCCCAACGTACGCTCAGTGGCGGTTGCAAAGATTGTACGGGGCAAAGTTTGTGATGAAGATGTCATTAGTAGACTGCAGACGTGAAGTCTGCCTTGGTGGGACACTGTCCGTTGGCACGGAGCAGGCGCCACCTACTCTACCCCTTCTTCAAACTCTGCGTCGTCGCCAGGGAATGTGCGAACCCAGTCTCACCCATTGCGCTCAAGATCGAGGAGCACAGGGTGGTGTAAAGCATCTGATTGTAAGTCGTCATGTTGTAGCCCTTGAAGAGCTTGTCCTGGAACGTTGACGTAAATCCGTCGAAGCCCAGGTAGCCCAGCATAAGCGCAATGCCGTACACGCTGGAGTGCCACAGGCTCTCTGAGACCTTCGATTTCACGTCCCCGGTCAGCAGGAAGACCGTGCAACCCGACGTGATGACCAACGCGAGACCCCAATCGCCGAGCTTGTACTTCTTCCGCAGCATAACAATTCCCCAGACCATCACGGGCAGCATCTTTGCGCACTTTCCAAGAGTTTGAACCGGGAAAGAGACGTACTTCAGCGCCTCATACTGGCAAGTGGTGGCGATCACATTTGAGAGCGAGACGGCGAAGTACGTCCAGATGGGCGCCACCGGCTTAATCTCCTGATATTTGCCGTCATGCTGTATACCAGGGAGGTAGAGTTGATGGGCCGTCGAGCGCGGACAACCGTAGCGCGCAACAGGAACTTACCACTAGCATGACAATAGCGACGGCACAGGTCGTCAGACGGTTGCATAGCACCAGAAACAATGAATATTTGAAGACCTCGGCGGACGTCCCCTCGCCAAAGGGCATCGTCATAATACGCTCCTGCGTAAGCACAGCATCCCCCGACGGTGATAACAGCCAGACCACTACTAGCCGCGGCCCCCACAGACATAGACAGCTATAGAATCTCGCACCTGGAGAACGCCATAGAGCATAAGGCATCCGACGATGCCTATGACGCACCAGGCTACGTGAATTTTCTCATGTGCCTTTATTTTTGACCACAAGAGAGCGATGGGGTTGTTCATTTTTAATGACGATGTCTTTACAAGAAATGTAAAACAACAGATCTATTGCGACCGAAACATTTCAGAGGGCTAGCTGTTGCATTAACGGCGGGGTACGGCAGTCGTTACCGGGGCTGACTCTGAACTTTTAAGTTATTGGTCAAGACTGACTGGCAAAAAGTTCCGTATGCACACAGAGGTATATAATGCTAAACAGCATAGCGGTGCAATTAGATGTTTGGGCGTTGCGGTGCGTTTGGGCCGCTACCAGCTTTGTCTGTCACGAAGCATACGTACGGTTTCCACAAGTTTCTGGCTGTTTAATGAACATTACGAACATGATGAAACTGTAAAACTGGTGCTGTTTGCACATGCAAAAATTTACCAAGACCTCAAGCAAAGCCTAAAGGGCCCGACGGCACAATCCTCAATTTCCTGCTATACGTTAGGACATCGAATTGTTTGAGGGCCAGGTGTCCTGCAGGCATAAGGGCTTTGACAGTAATTCTTCTCTGCACATACCCGCGAGACTCATAGTAGCAAGCTGCTCGCGTATTTAATCACTAGCGAGCGACTGCAAATCTGAACTATATACTACTAAGCTCTACATAAAAGCTGGAGAGCGGAGACCGGTGGGCAAAGCCCCCGCTTATGCGTGCTTCAGTACTGGTAACTCTGATGTACTGGCCTGCAAGCCATTATTGCAATCAAATATTCCGCTTTATATTGGCGTTGCGAGGATAAGCTCACCGATATTACGGCGTCCGTGCCCGCCACGCAGCGGAATGCGTTTTAACCCGTTGTCGCACGCTGCCCGTTACACTACGTTCCGCCTACTTCACATCTGTCCATTTGACATGCACACCCGATGCGCCGCCACCCAACCCGTTAGGGCCACCTCACTGACCCCTTGAAGACACGCACCGGCAAGGCAATGCCACTGCAGTTATAGCCTTAAGCTTTAGCCATTGCCATGATAAACGGCCTGCAATTGTGCCAGGGTCGCATGGTAGGCCCGCTTCACTTCTTCTGAATGTCCCGCTGAAGAGGACACGGTCGGCAACGCCGCCAACGCAGGTGGCAATGCGCTGGTGGTCAAATGTCGTTTCGAGGTTTGATGCTGCGGTTGCCGGGATATCGGTTGAATCGTCATGGGAAGTAGGACAGGCTGCGGAGCAGGCTGGTCCTGCAAAGGCAAAGCTTGCAGCTGCTGAGGCTGGTGATAGATGCTTGGCTCTGCAGACGCGGCAGATTCCAGCCGCGGCCCTGGAAAGCACCTGCTTGGCGGCGAAAATGGGCCTGGCGCCTGAGTACCTGCCATCTTAGCCGTCGGGCTGCTAACTGCCGACCGCCGCCGCGATGCCAGCTCACTTTGTGCATCTTCAGGCTGCGGTGGCGGCCACTGCAGCTGTGGCATGACTGGGGAGTGTGCCTGCTGATGCTGTTGGTTTTGGGAGCACCCCGGAGGGAGCTGGTGCGGGTGATGATGCTGGTAGCCGTAGGCAACAGTCGCAGGCTGCGTGTACCCCAAAAGGGAGGTATAGGTGCTCAGCGACGGCCCGGCAAGTGCCGCTGCTACTGGTGATGATGCTGATGCGGGAGCTGCTGCCTGTACGCCGGCTACCTGCGAATGGATCGCCGCAGGCGGCCCAAGATGCACGGTAGCTGCTGACCGATACATACCAGCCCCTGGTCCAGCCGACGTGATTACTGGTGGTGCGGGTGCAGCCGCCGGCGCTGGAATTCCGGCAGGCATGTGTTCCGGTGGCACCGGGGTGCCCTGCAGCGACCGGTCCCGTACACTTGAGTTGTCAGCCACTGCCGAATCGATTCTAGACTGCTGGTGGTGGTACGTTGGCCATGTTTGCTGTGCAGGCTGCTGGTATGGCGCCGAGCTGCCTTTGAACAGCGACCTGGCCGCGTGTGGCGGCGGCCTTACATCGCTGACGTTGGTAGGGATCCAGTTGCTGACTGCGCTGTGGCTTTGCGTGACACTGAAGTCACGTCCTTGGGAAGTTCCGGGCTCCTGAGCCGAATTTCGGACCTCGGTGCCAACCCCGCGCCATTGGTAGGAAGCCTGAACTTGCTGCTGCTGCTGCTGCTCCTGATGATGATGGTCGTCGTCGCAGTGCTGCAGGGGCTGCTGCTGGTACCTCTTAGGGGTAAGGGTCCCCGCGGTGGCAGGAATCGGACCCGGTGCAGCGCCCACTCCTGCCTGCTGTTGGTGTCCCAATTGCGAAGCGTATGGCACCAGCAGCTGCGGTTGCGACTTGGGTTGCGGCTGGGCCTGGGAAGCAAGCGCCGCAGCAGATGGCGTGAAGGGCGTTTCCAGATGCGGTCCTGCGGTCGCCGTGGAGCCTGGCAGGACATACGAAACCGGCATCGGCCGTTGCTGCTGCTGCTGCTGCTGCCGCCTGTGTTCCCCAGAGGTTTTGCGTGAAGGCACGAGCACGTGTGCATCTCCACCATTCCATGCCGGGTTTTGCATAACAGGCGGCGCCAGCGGTGACAGCAACTGTGTTGTGTCAGCCGCCGCCAGGGTGAGCTCCGCAATGCCCGCTGCTAGGGAAGGTTCGCTGCCCGCGAACGACAGGCCACGGCCGCTACTGCTGTCGCCAGCATCGCCAGCACCGCTACCGTCGCCAGCACTGTTACCGCCTCTTACTGCTTTGTCGCCTCTTAAAATGACATGATTTGAAGGGTGAGGCTCTGCTTCCCCCCCACAAACGTCAGCAGCAGCAATAGCAGAACGTGAGGACTTTGCACTGCTTCGGTGGCTTTGTTGCCAAAGACTATTATTGCCGCCGACAGCCGCCCCTGGCCCCGTCCCACCACGTTGCTGGGCATGATGGCGGTTGTTGTTGTGGTGGTGGTTGTTGTCGCGGTACTGTTGCCTGCACTGCGCTGACTCGGGCGATCGGGCCCGCCGGGCGCCAGTGCGTCCATCTTCTGATCCCGACCCCAAGCTGTCGCGGTTTCCTCGCCGCCGCCGCGAGCTGGAACTTGAGGGTGCCCGCGCTCGGCCGCCGGTTGATCCGGCCGCGGCATGTGCTGTGAAGCCGCTGCAAGTGGCGTCAACCCCAGAGATCTTACTCGTCCTCCCACGGCGGCCGTGGGCGCTGCCCCCGCTGCTGCTATTGCTCCTGCTACAGCTGCTGCCACTACTGCTACTGCTGCAGCCTCTACGGCTGCGGCTGCGCGAGCGTGGTTGGTCAAGAACTACCATACGTGAAGAGCGGCGAGAAATGGAGGGGCTGGACCGTGGCGGGGACGGCGACTTTATCCTGTGGACCAGGCTGTCCGAGCGAGCACCTGAGTTTGCGGTGGCAGGCCGAACCCAATTGGTTCCCTCGGCCTCCCAGGCAGACACGACTGGCAGACCCCTCGACTCCGGAGCTGGGGCTTCCTGCTGAACACCGCTACCACCACTGCCACCGTCGCCATAGCCACCTCCCCCAACTCTGTCCATTTGGCCGATGCCGTCTGCGTCACTGTTGCCGATACCGTGTGAGTAAAGCGCAGGTGCGCCGGCCGATGCGCTGCCGGGGAACCAGGTGCGGGGGGAGGTGGGGCTGCCAGGGCCCCCATCGCATGCGTCAACATGCCAAGCCACTGCATTGCCTGGTGCGCCCGGAAGCTCTCGCGGCTCTGTCTGATGCCACGACGGCAGCTGCTGTTGTTGTTGCTGCCACGTTTTGTGTTGCGGCTGTAGCTCCTGTGGTTGTGGATGTGAATATGGTGGGTGTGGCGGCTGTGCCGGCAGCGGCGGTGGTGTTCTTACAACCTGCAGGTCGAGCCGACAGGGCAGCCCCTCGCCTGGCTGTGTGGCGGCACTATACACCAGCTGCCTGTGCTGCTGCTGCTGCTGCACGGTCACCGCCGCCGTGGTCACGGGCATCATGCCATGTACCGGGTGGGTCACGGCCGGTGCCGGTAAAGTGCACATCGGCAAGTTCAGGAGCGCAGCGCCGCTGGCGCCCCCAGCCGGCAGGGGACCCTGGACCGCAACCAGCTGCGGCGCCATGTTGGCGGCAGCCGGCACGGCGCCTTGCATGGGCATGACCTGCTGCAGCTGCACAAGCGATGCGGGGGGCGGCACCAGGGCCGCAGCAGGCGCCACCACACCGTGTCCCGGAGCTGCCGCTGCCGCGGACAGCAAGGGCTGTTGGGCATCGGTGCCGTGCGGCAGCACCGTGGGCTGCAAGAATACAGGCTGAACACCCCACGGGTCGGTCTGACCCAGGCGGGCGCCCTGGCCTACCACCAGGCTTGTCCCCGGCACAGCCGCGGCTAGAGCTGCAGGAGGCATAGCGCCATAATGCTGCCCCAGCGGGACGGCGGGGCTCAGCGGGTAGGCAGGCCCCGCCGGGGCGGGGAGAGCATGTGTGGGAGCGGCAGCAGGGGCTGAGGCCTGAGCGGTCCGATCGATGTACTCACGGACGGCCATGTCCAGCTACGCGCAGCAGAGACGGGGGAGGAAAGTCGAGCAACCCACATCAGCATACATGCAGTACAGAAGAGGTGTGGCGAAGAAGCAGTGAAAAAGCGAAGAGCAGAGAGGATGCAACCACAGCTACAACGATAGCCACCACAAGCTTCAGCTACGACTGTGTTGTTAGCCAGCTGCTGCAACCTATTTTCCTCTTCGTGTCGGGTATTAGCCCTCCTCCCACCTACCCTCGCACTTCCCCCGACCACCCACATACGCACCGTCATAGACACTTGCCGCGCGGCTCGTGTAATGGCGCTGACGGACAGGTCCTCAACCGCCGCACCACCATCAGTCTGCTGGTCTAGGGAGGCACGGATGGCGGTGGCAAGGCCTGTGGGGACATCATTGGCATTAGGGTTTTAGGATTTTTCCACATCTTAGGGTTTGATATGAAGGACTCTTGTTGGTTGGTTGGTAGCAGTTACGGGTACCCGTGCTTAGCTATCTCCCCCTCTGTGACCTTCATCAGGTTGGCCTCCAATCGCTGGTTATGCCTGGGATTTCCCCTTGGAAATGCTGCTGGGCTGCTGGGGAGCGTCTCTGATCCTCTGAGGGGTTTTGCGGGGGCGCGTTGTATGGGGCGCACAGCACACACCTGGCACCTCTACCACTTCACGCATTTTTCTTGGCCTGTTCAGTGTAAATATTGTGCGGGTGGGCAGCATTACAGGTCATCCGTCCAGGAAATCCACTGGAACGTTCATCCATCCATTCATTCATTCATCAGGACGCAGCGACAATTCCATGTAGCTAACCCATTCGCTAATTGTGACCATCTGTTTCTACTATTACGGAAAGATAAGTGAGGGATGCGATGTAAGCATGTCTCTGCGTATTTCAGGTGGTTAGGCCAAGGAATGATGGCCGTAAGCGGCAAAGGAGACAGCGATGACCTCCAGACTAGGCTTAAAAACAGGGGAGCTCGGCCCGTTGGGCGGGTGGCGAAAGGGGAAGCGGCCTCCACCTCCCCTTATTTCCCTCAGTGCCTTACCCGCGACTTGCTGCGCCAGCAGGTCCCCAGCTACGGCCTGGGATGGTGACACGGAATCCCCAGGCACAGATGCATCCAGTCCGGAGGCTGCGGAGGCGGCGGCTGCCACACTGCCAGCGAGGCTTGCACGGTTTGCCGGGTCCAGCAGCTGCGTCCACCAAGTTGGGTTTAGCAGCTCGGAGGCCGGGGGCGCGCTACTGTAGAGCCTGGCAGGGCAGGGGAAGGCGGGCAGTGGTGAAAAGGAGGTGAATGGCGGACTACTAATGTGTGGCGGACAAGCCGGAAAGGGCATAAAGCTTGATGTGGCCGTTAAGGAGGGTGAAGGAGAGCCATGGAGAGCATGAAAAAGGCCGTTCTGCATGCATGACGTGTTGCAAAGGCAGTTCTCGCCGGGAAAGGCAAGGCGACGGGCGGCGGGTGCCCCAACGTGTGTGTGAAAAGGCCGGTCTCTGCTGCTTTGCGAGTGCGCGCTCCTCTCCTGAGTCCTAACTAGAGCTCTTCATTCCGTGTAGGTATGTGTGTATGTGCGTGTTACAACTTCTGGCGTTGCGCTATTTTCCGAAGGTGAAACCTGGGGCCACATACAAGCCCGAGGCGCGAAGGTGTAGCGAGGCCTATTTTGTGTCTGGTCCCTGATGCAAACGAAAACAACACAGAAAAGGGGGGTGAAACAAAGATAATGAAAAAGCTGAAAAGATGGGACTCGGAGGCCCGCCCCTCAACTAAAGGGGATGAAAAGTTTTGTTTGAGGAAGAACACTTCAGTGCTCTTCTTCTTCCATAGCCCGCCGCATACATTTGCGCAGGCAGCGCCAGCAACGGTGATCGCGGTGGGGGCGGCGGCGGCGCGGGCGGCGCCATGCGCTCCACCATCTGCATCACCTCGTCCTGCTGTCGCAACGCCGACTCCACCACGGCCTGCTTGACCGCCTGTGCGGTGTCGCCGGTGCACTGAAGCGCATCCAGGACCGCACGTGTGTGCTCATCTGTTGGGTTGGGTTGGATGTTGGGTTGGGTTTGACTGATATTTTGTGACGTCGACTTGACTTGAGCTTGTAGTCAAGAGATACGCGCTCGAAAACCCAAAGCATTTAAAACAACAGGACAAGCAAGAATTGTACAAGATACGCGCTCCTGCTGGTTCGGTTGGCTCGTCCCGCTGTACGGTATATATAATTGTAATACCCTCCCCACGCACACCCACACCTGCACACCCACATACGCAAACAACGAATCCCGGGGCGTCATGTACATACATACATACACCCACCGGCCGTGGCCTTGACGAGCTCCAAATTCCCCGTGTACAGATCCCGAAATCGACTAATGTCCTGTGGAACCGACCGAGATGGTCGGGGGTCGGGGTGTGTGGGGGGGGTAGAGAATTCGCCGTGGCCATGATTGCGTCACGACGCCAGTTGAGACACAGCTGCTTGGATGCATGCTTGTTTGCTTGCAAGCATTTGCAAGCATACGAACGCATGCGATTTTCATAGATTAAAACACGGAACCGCGGAAAAACCTTTCCGCCGCAACTACACGCCGCAAAGCAAATAAATGCGCCTTTGGCGCGTACGTGCCGGGTTGGGTTTCGCCTGACGAAACGAACGGCGTACCACGATCTTTACCCCCACAAAGTGGATGGATGAGTCATGTTGGAATGTTGGTTAGCACATGACACTGCAGACACTGAGCAGAGGACCGGACAACCGAAAAAAGGAACTCTTCGGGGTACAGGCATATGATGTCGCATGGCCGGCAGGCAGGAAAATCGCACCTTGAGCAGCTCGCTTGTGGGGCCCAGCAGCGTCGACAGCTGGTCAATGTTCATGGCCTGCACGATGCCGACAAGGTCCGGGTGGGAAAGAAAACCACTTTCAAGGAGAGCAGGTAGGAGTGCAGCAACAAAGCACACACTCTTTAGGGGTAAGCTAGGCAAGGGTGGAGCGGGTTGCTAGGAAGAAAAGCAGGGGGGTTAAGAGAAAGGGGGTTGCCGTAGGTAAATGGGGAATATGGTTTCGAAAGTAAAAATGAACGAATGCTGTTACAGGGGGTCCCTACGTATCGTCGGTGCATAAGCTCCAAAGGACACAAGAGGAAAAAAGCGGGAAAGCAACCGCCCAGACCAACCCCAGACTCTCCCGAGTTAACGCACCTTGAGTTCCTCCACCATTTTCAGCCTCTCCCCCTCCCGCATCAGCCTCTCCCCTTCCGTGCGCTTGAATGCGGCCACTTGATCCAGCAGTCGAGACAGCCGGTTGGGCGTGTGCACCGTCGCCTCGCGCTCCAACTGGGTTCGGCAGGGGGAAGGTTCGGCAGGGGGGAGGGGGGAATTGCATGTATGCAGCACACGTCAAGGAAAGCTGGGGGATGGCATCGCACGTGCGACATGTAAATGGAAGCGGGGAAAAAGGGAGCGAGGGAGGACGTTACGCGAGGGCGAAGGAATACGGGTATCTACAAGCGGTGAGAGTGGAGGAAAGGGGGATTTGAAAATGCATCAACGATTGCAGTCCTCCTTGAAGCATCCCTGCCTTTCCCTACCAAGTGCATCGGTGTTCCAAGCCGCTGCTTGAAGGAAAGTCAGCAGCCTCACGCTGCCCTAACGCATGAACAAACAATCAAATTCCAAATTCTCACTCCTCAGGAGTTCGGTTTCCGAGTCCGTGTGTAACGGGCGCTGTTCAAAGCCGCCTAGAGCCCATGCCTTCGCGCGCTTCCGACCACGCTTCCCCCGAACCTCTCTCTTGCCCGCACACCTGTGCAGCCGCCTGCTCCGCCGCTTTCGTCTCCAGGGCCATGTCGGCAGGCATGCGACCGCCCGCCGCGTCCATATCGGAATCCGAGTCGGAGTCAAGCATGCGATCCACATCATTCCTTTGCTTGCCTGGAGCCGCGGCTGTGGCGGCTGTGGCGGCGGCGGCAGTGGGAGCAGATGTGGATCCGGCGTCACGCCGCGGCGGCGATGGCGAGGAAGAGGAGCTCCGCCGACGGGGAGGGCTGTACGGGGTCCGGAGCATGTGGTGGGGTTCGTAAAGTAAGGAAACAACCTGGTTGTTGTCGAACACACAGCTTTAAAAAAAATGCGAAACACAGTGAATGCAAGGGCGAGGGAACCCCGTTGCAAAACGGGCCGAATAGAGCCCAACAGTCCTCAATCTTCACGACGTGCCCCAGGGCAGCCCAGGCCGCAGACACAAGCAAACACATTGCCCCAGGGAAACACGCCGGCCTTGCTTCTTTCGCATTCTCTCAGCTCTGCAATTTTCAGCGAATTCGATTACCCGGGTGCTCAGCAGCGCTCACCTGACGCTGCCGCCCCCAGGGGACTGCCGCCCGCTGCCGTACCGTGATCTCCGCTGCGGCTTGACGCTTCCGGGAGGCAGCGGCTCGAAGCCCGGCACCGAAACCAGCGCCGGAGGCAATGACGGGTCAGCAGGGACAAAGATGTGAGTGGGTCTAGGTGCACTTGGGTCATCCGGCGGTGTTGGCGAGGGCAACAGGAACACGGGTTGCATTGAGCCGGCCGGTGTTGCCACCGGGACGTTGGCGACTTCGGGACCCGGCGCCGTCGCCAGCGGCGGCATCGACGGCAGCCCTGCCGTCCCGCTTGCCGTACCTTCACTGTAAAGGCGGACCTGCGGTATGGCGGGACGCATGATGACGGTGGGAGGCAACAGCTGAGGGGCAGAAGAAGTATAGCAACAGCTTCATGCACGGTTTCATGATAACAGGCGTTTCGATGCACATCAGGCCAGCTTCCGTTACACTTTCGTCCCCGTCCAAGGAAAGCTAGCGTTCACAGCAGGCCGAGACGACGAGCATTGCCTCGGGGTTCTCATGCCATAAGGCTAAGCAAGGCAGTTCCGCGAAAAACCTTTCAGCAGCATGTTCAGCAGGCTTCAGGAACCGGAAAATCATTATAAAAAAGCACGTTTTTGGTACAACGCAGCTCACCTGGGGTTCATTGGGCGAGAACTGCACACGACGCGCGGCAGCGGCAGCAGCAGCAGCACCAGGATCTGCCGCCCCGGCGCCACCAACAGACGCAGCCGCCGACGTAGTAGCGGGCGCTGCAGAAGCGAAAGCACGGGACATCAGGCCCGTAGAGTCGACGGCCGTGCCCATCACCGCCACGGGGAACTCAAAGGCGCCGCCAGAACTCCTGTCAGCCGGAACACCAGCAGCAGTACCCGTCGGTTCATTAGTGGTATCACGAGTAGCAGCACGAGCGCCTGCACCGGTATCAGCAGCGGCAGAGGAAGAGGCATTCGGGATGGTAGGGGCTCCTTCGCGCTGAAGATCCGGAGCCGAAGCTGCCACTGCCGCTGAGGGCTCGCCGTCAGCAGCGCGTACTGGCTCGGCAGGTGCAGGCCACCCCGTCGCGGCTGCTGGTTGCGGCAGCGGTTGCGACGGCAGGGGCCTAGTGGCGTGCTGAGCCTCCGCGGGAATCTGGCGCTCGCTGCCGTGTTGTCTGGTGCCAGTGGTCGTCTGAGAATGCAGCGATGCTAGGCTAGGCTCTCCGGCCAGATCGCCCGCGGAGGAGCTCGCGCTGCCGTGCCTGGACCGCCGTACCCCAGACGCATCTGCCTGCGACTGTAGGTGCGGCGGCTGGGTGCCGCTGCTGCCGCCACCACCACCGCCGCCACCGGACGCGCGGTTCGCAGTGTCGGGCGATGATTGCGAAGACACAGCCAACTGATTCGCTATACTTGCCAGCTGTAGGATCTTCTGAAGCTTCTCCGCAGTGGGCTTTCTGGAAGCCGACGGCGGCGCTGGTGCTGGTGTTGCCGCAGGGGCCCCGTCCTCCGCGCTTAAGTTATGCGGACCTGGCTGCGACTGCTGTCCAGCCGGCGCCCGCCAGCCCGACGACAGCCTTCGTTGCGGCTCGGGGACGTCTAAAGGAGTAGTAGCAGGAGGGGTGTCCCTGCCGCTGGCACCGGCACCAGCACCAGCCGCTGCCGCAACGCCTGGCTCCTCCTTCTCTTCCTCACGCAGCGCTGCAGCTCTGGACCCCCCGGCTGGCCGGTCCGAAGACGTCGCCGCCTCCGCTGCAGGCCCTTCGCTAGACCTACCGCCATGACGGCGGTACCGTGAGAGCAGCTGATCCACACTCTCCCGCATCACCTCCTCCCCCCTACTCCTACTCGCTGCTGCAGCTGCTGCTGCTGCCGGTCCACCAGAGGCTCCGCCCACCACCGCCGTTGCTGCCGCAGCAGTCGCGGATGCGGCAGCAGCTGCCAAGGCTGCCTGGGCGCGAGCCTGCACCTCCGTACGCATCTGTTGTTGATGGCTTGAACGCAGCTGCGGCACGATGGTGGTTGTGGTGTGACTTGGCGGCGTCGCGGCGTGAGCAGGTAGGGCCGGCGCTGGCGGCGCTGCCAGCTTGTGACCTGCCGTGGAGCGTGTGAATGCCTGGTTGACCATTTGTAAAGCGGTTTCGGAGAGGCGGCCGTCAGCGCCTCTTTCCAGGGACATCACTGCCTGGTACAAGGTGGGATGCTCATGTGCCAGCCGGTGCAAGGCTGCTGTCATGGCGCTGGATGTTGGCGCCAGCGGCGCCCCAGCCGCGGTGTGGGAAGCACGGCTGGGTGCTGCAGGGCGACAGACGAGCGACATGCAAGCAGGGGCAGAGGGGCGTTGTTGCAGCGCGTGGATGAAATGTGAGCTTGGTTGAGCGCCTTGCTAAGTGTACTTAGTGTCAGTGCAAAACCAGCGCGAGTTAGCCCACGAGGACGGGCCAGCAGCACACCAACGCGGCGCGGCAGCCTTTGTGTTTGGTGCTCGGGGAACGGCTTATCAACACTTCGTAAAAGCGGTATTAAAAGCAGCATGTAAGGGTACTTACTGTTACGGGACGGGCTCTGATCGATGCCGCGATACCTCGCATCCGAATCCGGCTGTTGTGACCAGGGCTTAAGGCCTGATGAAGCCGGTGGTGTCGTTGAAGTGTACCAAGCGGGTTGCTGGGAGGGGGCGTCTGGGCGTGGTGGAATGCGGGAGGCGACATCGCCGCGGCGCGTTGGCGAAGGATTCTGCCACCAGAAAGCGTCGTCCTTCGTTGTCCTGGGGCGGAGGAAGAGGAGGGTGGACAAGTTTGTTGGGGGTTTGGGGTTTGCTTGCGTTTCCAAATGGTTCGCAGGGTTCCACATGTGCAAGTGATGCCCTCGGCCGCACTAGGGCCGATGAGGTTGGAAAGTGTGGCTGGATCAAAATCCAGGGGGACTAGGTATGTGCTCCATTGTCATGCTCCGGCAGGTACAAATCATAGTCGCCGGTGCCAACGGGTGATTGATAATTGTTCATACGATGAGTTGTCTTAGGACCCACCTCTGTGGGCTGCCTGAGATGCCTGCTGCGCGAAATTGGGCTATCTTCTCCGCTATTGTCGACCCTCTTCTTGGGGTTCCCTCGGCCATCGGGCTGGTCCACGTACACAAGTTATATGGGACTTTCCGGTTGTGCTCTTACAATTTATTGCTTCGCAAGCCTTCTAATGCGCCGAGCTTTCCTATAGCGTTGGCTGTCAGTCCATTCTCAGTCAAAAAATACCAGGCATGTCCAGTGCTGTTTACCTTGACAAGAAATACTTCAAGGATTTTCTTTGAGATCACAAATGCCATAAACTCCAGAGAGATTGAAGCTTAGCCTAGAAAGTGAATTTTAAAAAGTCGGCATGCCTTTATGCCGCAAGCATAACTGACTCGGCTTTAGAGGGGGCGACGGGATATCTTGCCACGGGCTAGAGGCGCAGAGGTGCAGTAGCCAGGGCAGTTGGAAAAAGCAACGGTCAACGAATGTCCTATTTTTAACAGGTCAGCGCAAGTTAGGTGTTACAGAAAGATCTCAGATTAAGTGGCAATATAAACACAAGCCTTTTACTGGATGCAGTTTAGAAAGGACAAATGCACTAAGTGTAGCGCGCAGCGTTCTGCCTTGGATGCAGCCTTTACCAAACCGTATGGAGCTGCTTTGACGTATGTCTAGGTCCCCACGCGCAAAACGCGACGTTGCTAAGTGGTTCGACCAGTATCCCACTTTACATCATGCGCTGCCTACACGCACGTCGTGCAGTGTCTTGAAATTACCTTTCATGAACTTGAAGTAATTCCGGATGAAGTCCTGCTGGAGACCATCGGGAGCCGAATATTGCATACCTCAGCACGACCATGCTGCCGAACGAAACAGCACATTTTGGCCTGAGCAGCACATCCTAAACGCTGACACGACGTGGGTCGAAGGGATACCAACACACGCATTACCAGTGCACGGCGCCCAGGGGCTGTAGGACCTGGCTATTCCAAGGAACCGTGGGTCACAGCCTCAGCACCTATTTTCACTTACTGCCATTGGCAGCCAGAGATTACAGTCACCCAGCCAGCAACCCCAGCATGCGCAGGAGCCACACTTCGCTGCCACTGCCACAGCACCAACCGCAGCACGGCAACAGTTCCTCAAGGGTTATGCAAAGATGTATAGGACAGCCCCTTTCCGTAGCGCAATTGGAATGCGCATGATGCAGAGTGCGATAGTTGGGTTCAGCGAGCTGTGAAGCTTGGAATTGTACATAGAATCTCTGCACCGAAGCTCCTGCACCTAGTTGACTGCGTCGGAGATCGCACGCAGCCGTTCGGGTGGGTGACTTGACAAGGAAGAAGCCGGGGTCTCCGTGCTTCGGGGTCTTTATCAGATTTCAGGTTTCAGGAGCATAAGCCACACGTACCATAGGGTGTAGCCGGCATAGCCTCAAGCATGGGGAAGACTTCCTTTTGTGTTCCTTTATGGACCCATCATCCAGTGTTAAGACTGGCAATTTTACCTGATATGCCGTACAGTACACACGGCCCAATGGCATCTAATCGGCTGTGGCTGTACGACTAGTGGCCGAGTTGGTTGTTGTCGAGCCTCTTGTATATTGCTTCTTGGAGCGCAAACACGGTACATTTCGCACCGCCTCCATCTCAACGCTATTCTTACCCTTTTCATTCCGCACGTCAGTCTCAACCCACGCCTTGCACCAAGGGCTATTCTTACCCTTTTCATTCCGCACGTCAGGCTCAACCCACGCCTTGCACCAAGGGCTATTCTTACCCTTTTCATTCCGCACGTCAGTCTCAACCCACGCCTTGCACCAAGGGCTATTCTTACCCTTTTCATTCCGCACGTCAGTCTCAACCCACGCCTTGCACCAAGGGCTATTCCATAGTGTCCCTTTAGTACCACTTAGTTCGCACTGTTACTGACACGTGGCAGTCCAGTTCGCCGCTATACATGGTCATGGCCAGCCGCCCACCACGGCCCATGAATGTGTTGTATCCTGTAAAGCTTTCTGCAACGGTTTGGGCTCCGAATCCTAACTGTCGGTGGTTGGCTCGTCCGGTCCGATTTACCGAACTTCTCTGTTACTAACTAATACCCGTCAATCCCGCTGTCGGTGATTACAGGTCTAACTAATACTGATATTAGTTTACTTGCGGCTACTGTTAGCTGCGGCGGCTAAAGCGACTACTGATAGTCGTCCGCCACCTGAATGCCGCACCGCTGCGGAAGTCCGTACCTGCGTATGGGCAGGGGTTTTACCTGTGTAAAGCTGGGACCTGCGTCCCTGTTTCGTCTGACCGAGCGAGAGTAGTTCGTGCGAGCTATGGCTTCTGGATAGCGCGTCGCCCAGTCGTACTGGGAACGTATCGGCGCGAGGCCCAAGTGGAGTCACTGATGACTATTTATTCTATACACTTGTATCAATCGGTATCTTTCGATGCCCCCATTATGTGGTTGTGTATGGAAGGCGCAAGTCTCTGAGGCACCAGGAGACACAGTCCATAGATAGCTTACATCAAAAGGATGCTGTTCATGCTTTTATTTAGCACGAGCTGACTCGAATCTGTGACCCGGAGTTGAAGAAGAAACACGTTTTTCTGTTCGCTGAAAAAATCGTAAAACCCTAGTGCATGTTTTATTTTTAGTTTTTATGTTGCAGGACCTCAATCCATATTGTTAGACCTATTTGTAATGTGCGTGCCGTGCAGCTCCTACTATTCTATGCATGCATGAACTGCAGCAGCAGGAGGGCTGGAATTGGGGAAGAGCTCTGTCGCAGAATTGGCCTGACTTTTATTCCTGACAAAATTCTGCAGCTTCCCCATAGGAACAATTAGACAGCCCTCGAAAAGACCCTCTGGAAATTTGTTACGGTCGAACTAGTGGTTTGATCTTCCACTTTGATAAACCTAATCCGTATGTCAGGGAACCACAACTTATGCTTGTCTAGCTTTTTTACTAAGCTGGACATAGCATCCTTCCTATTCACAGTGACACCTGTTACCAGCAGCACCTTTGGCAGATGTAGAGTCTGCTGAAGAGCTGTTCGAGGCGAGGGAAGGTCCGTCGCTGGCCTCGCTGCCCCGGAAGGTCAGGCCAGTCAGCAGGCCTCACGATTTGCGAAATGGAGGCGTTTTTTTGCACCGTGGTCCATAGGAAGGGAAAAAACCATTGGCAGGCGCTCCGTTCCGCGCTGAGGCTGGGCCCTGATCAAGACACCGCAAAGAGGATACACGCTTTCCGGAAGGGTTTAACGGGCAAAGGGCCGAACATGGGGGCTACCGCTGCTTAAACTCTAAAACTCAATCGGATATTATGACTGTTGTCACGGCTACCTTTGGCCACGGCCAATGGCCTGTTTGGTATCTTGATGAGGTATGGGACCGCATAGTAAGCTGCTGAAGTCATCAATAAATCTTGAGCTCTACAATTATCCGTGCTAGGAGTTTTTACACTTTCTTGCGTGCACAACCGACCGACCGACCTTCCTGCAATTATTAACCGGGCCTGTGTACGGGCAACGAGCTGTAATTTGTATAAGCCGGTAGCAAGCCAAGCCATCGGAACAGATGCAGGTTATGAAAGCGATCCGCCATGCATGTTGCCAGAAAAGGTCATAGTCTGGAAAAGTTATTGTTCGTACCAGACCTGTTACGGCGTAACTTAGGCTTGGCTAAAGGAGACGGACGTGATAACTGCAATACTGACTGATTTACTTTCATCAATTGCGGCTAGGCATGCTCTTGCAAGGATAACGTACTTCTCTTGGGCGTTTCTTTACCAACAAGGTTAAGCAAAAGGTGTTTCTATTTTTAAGTTGTTAACACAGAACTTCAATGAAGGGGCCTTGAAACTTAACAGGAACCTGGCTTCAGCACTATCTTTCCTCTTTCCTTCTTCTTGAACCAGCATGCCAGGCTTTCCGAGAGCCGCCTACTGACATCAGCCTTTTGAGTCCTGCTTATGCGAGAGGCAAAATGTCAATCCAACAGGACTGCTGGCCACCATGGACAGCTTGTTGCGCATGGCGACACGAGCGAATGCCAACCGCTGTGCAAGGACGAACTACGGAGTTATCTTGATGGCTCTGGGAAGGTGTTGGCCCTTGCTGTGATTGGAGTTCAGTGCTTACGGCCTAGACGTTGGGCTTGCGGCTTCATTCCTTCTTGTCTCCGACCCTCCACCACGGAAGATGTGCCTTGCGATAGACGTGAACAGCTGTCTTTTGCAACAGTCCTTGTGCTCGGCGGATACTTGTCTTGTCAGGTAGGAGAGTGCATTGAAAACGGGTCACACCCATTGTCAGCTGTGTAAAGCTTGACAGCGTCGTCGCGCGCACAAGCATGCAGGATGTGGACGGCCTTTTCAAAGCTTGGATCCAAAGGCCAGCTGGCGAGGTGCTTCGCGCAGTGGCGAGGTGGGGAATGCTGTACTCGACACCGCTGCGGGCACCGGTTCAGACGATGGACCTGATCGCAGGTGTGCTGTTTCACGCACTCCTTGCTACATGGAGGTCAAGCTGTCGGGATCTCTGAACTCCCCTGACCTAGGTGCTGGCGGGCCCGAGGTGGAACAAACTTACCAGGTATGACGGCAATCCGGTCGCCACGAAAAAGCATGCTGATCTTTCAGCTGCAATTACAAGCACTCCCCCACGATACGAGCATCACTCCTTTATGGTCCTCCTATTCAGGAACATGCGTTGTCGGGCTCTGGATGTCTTCCTGTGGTAGGAGCTTTACGCGCTCCTCAGTGTCCCGTGCACCTCAGTGCTCCCCTCCTTTATACATGCTCCTCAATGTCCCATTCGACTATATTCCTTTCCCTCCACCTTCCCTTAAGCAGACCAAACTTGAGCCCCGGCCGCATCATGGTCCCCAGTGTACACAACTTTGCGCCAGTTTAGTCTCCGTAGTCATCTCAACCTTATTGAACAGTCTTGCACTTTTTCCCAGCGTTATTACCAGCGTCAAAAACAACGAAAGCTACCCACGACTACCCATGCGCCGCCGCGCCATTCCCACCGTGTTACGCGACAGGTTAAGAGCTGCACGTACGATGACGGCAGCGGTCCCCACGTTCCAGGGTTGTTGGTCAT